TGACAATATCAAATTCAAATAATTGTCCTGTAAGTCACGTCGTTGGATCCGCTGCCCTAAATTCAAAAGGTCTACACTTGACACGCCAGGGGCTCTCCTAGCAAGCTAGGAGAGCCCTGAGTGTACCTACGCTGCTTCGGAGGCTCTAACTAGTCTCAGCAAATAGAAAAATTCCGGAGCTAGAAAAATTCAAACTGTCCCCCAAGAAGACAGTCCACACACACACACACACACACACACACACACACACAGCCAGACCGGTATCGCCGCCATTGTCATAGACCGGACTGCACAGAAAGATCAGGTGATGGCCGACTGCACAGAAAGATCAGGTCACAGCCGACTGCACAGAAAGATTAGGTCACGGCCGACTGCACAGAAAGATCAGGTCACGGCCGACTGCACAGAAAGATCAGGTCACGGCCGACTGCACAGAAAGATCAGGTCACGGCCGACTGGACACAGCAAGTACTAGCACAGTAGGCTAGTGACGTTTTAAATCTAAAATAATCACGAAATCAAGAGCAGCACAAAACACAACGCGGAATTAAAAAAATGCCTCATCTGGGTAAAGCACAGCAATCACGTTCAGGCGTGAGCGGAACCTTATCCAAATATAGAACACAGCGGTACCTGTACTGGCGTTCAACACAGTCACCAGGCAAGCTACTCGCAAGTCAACAAGGCCCTGCAGGAAATGTACTGGAGGCCAACACAGTCATCGCGCAAGCTTCTCATAAGTCAACAAGGCTCTGGAGGACCTCCTGAAGAGTTTTACTGAGATGATCTGGCACCTGGCGGCGTATTTCCGTCCACTGGTGTTGCAGAACCGGCAAGGGAATGTCCGGCCAGTGCTGGCGCTGCAGGTCCTGCCACGGTATCTCGCCGTCGATGATCTTTTCGTCGCAGCTGCAGATGACCTGGATCATATGCGCGCGCTCGTCCTGCGCCCAGCCAAGCGGATCGCCGGCCATGCCTAGCTGTGTGACCCACTGACGACGGCACTGCTCCGCCGTACGGCCGGGCACTCGCCGCGATACCGATGACCAGCACAGCGATACGTCGACGGGACCCCTAGGCACGCCGGAGATCTCGCGCACCGCCGCGACGAGCGCGCGGCGCTCCTCGTCGTGCCAGCGCCCTCGCTTGGCGCCCCCATTCTCCTGGGCGCGCTGCCGGTCGATGAGCGCGCGGTACTTCATGCACAGCGGCTCGGGTGCGCGGTTCATCAAGTGGCCGATCCTGGCCCAGCGCGCCCCGTACCTGTCGTAGAGCTTGAGCAGCTGCTGCTCCTCGGCCGTCGAGTAGCGGCCCGTCTTCAGCGCCGGCACGTTGTGGCGCTTCATGAACGTGTAGATGCTGTTGAGGGGACGCCGAATGCCCTGCGCCATTTCCACGTAGAAGCCCTTGCGCTCGCGCTTCTCGAACGAGAAGATCAGGTCTGTGAGGTTGGCGTCGCGGTTCCTCTCCATGTACGCGTTGACGTTCGAGTCGAGAATGTGTATCTCCTCCACAGACCAGGGACCGGTGCGTTGGGGCACGCCGGCAACTTCAAAGTCGTCTTTCGATTTCTTCGTGTTCGTGGCCCACTGGCGAGCACCGGGTGCGAGGTGTGGATCAAACTTGGGCGTGATGCTGCCGGTTTGCGGCAGTGAGAGGTTGCGGTCGAGCGAGGCCTTGATTCCCAAAAGTTTCTTGGACTCAACATCCCGAGTCTTGAGCGCAGACGTTTTCTGCATGGAGTGCTTGCGCCCGTGCTTCTTCTGCGGACTGGCCGCGTGTTCCTGGCTTGCAAACGTGCTCGGCCACTGGTCGGAGTCGCTATCATCCGAGTCGGTAATCACTTCCGCTGACGGTAGGGCTTTGCGGTGCTTGACAGGATTGGCCGATGCGGCAGCAGAGTCGGAGCAGAGCTGCGGGTTGTTGGATACTGTACCAGCGTCCTCGTCATCGTCCATAGACCCAGCGCTGTCCGTTTCCTCCTGATCGGAGTCGCCGCCGACCGTCAGGGAGGACAGCAGCGGCGTGACGCCTGTGTGCCTGTTTCTGCGTCTGCCCGAGCGCCGAGCGACCGGTGTTGCTGTCACCGTGCTGTCTGCAGGCAAGTTGCGGAGGCCCACGTTGCCGCTGCTTGCTGCAGCTGCCCGCGAGCGGCGGTGTGCTGCGCGCGGCACTATACGCTGCTTGGACGGCTTCTGCTTCCGCTGTGCTCTCGTGTCCGCGTCACTGACAGGGTGATCGCCACCGTTGCCGTCATGGTCGTCGTCGTCACCAGCTCCAGTGCTCTCCTGCGTTGCTTCTACTTGATAGTCTGTGTCACTGTCATCACTCCTGCTAGACGCATTTGACGATGTTGAACCTTGCCGGCCTCTTGCCTTCTCCGCAGATTCGCCAGGGTTGTTGGCTGCCGATTGCTCACCATCTCTTCGGCCAGCGCAGGTGGCTTGCTGTGAGCGCTTGACACGTGTCTTCTGGCGCGGAGACTTGCTAGCAATGGATGCATCCAGCTCCTGGGCATCACCGACAACTCCAGAGAGCAGAGACATCTCCTCCTCAGATGTTACGCTTGCGCTATCCTGAGTGTTCGTGCCTTGCACGGTGGACTTAACGCGCAGCAATTTCCCTTTCTTTTTCTTCTTCTTCGGTGATTTGGCACCGGCTGCTGTTGATTCTTGTTCAGTCGGTTCATCGTCAGATGACTGGAGGGGGGCCTGGTGTTTTTTCTGTCGTTGACGCCGCTGTTTCAGTTTCTTCGTCGGTGATGCTGGCAGGCCCTCGGCAACTGGCTGCGAGCTAAACATGTCCTCCGACTCGTAGCTAGCGTCGATGGCCGTAGTCTCACCGAAGCTGGCCGTGCTCGTGTTCAGCACATCGTTAAAACTATCGGCCGTGTCGTCTGCCGAGTGCGGTGGCACAGAGTCCTCCACAAGAACCTGATCGTCAGTACTGGCAGAGTGAAGAGATGCGACCGAGTTTTGCTTGTTCGTTGCCGCCGTCCCAGTTGCCAGCGCGTCCGTTTTTTCAATGGAGTTCCTGCGGACTGACCTCTTCTTTTTCTTTGACGACTTAGCATCAGCTGCTTCTGGTAGTTGTTGTTTACTGGGCTCACTGTCGGACGACTGGTGGCTTTTCTGTCGTTGACGCCGCTGTTTCAGTTTCTTCATTGGTGATGCCGGCAGGCCCTCGGCAACTGGCTGTGAGCCGAACATGTCCTCCGACTCGTAGCTAGCGTCGATAGTTGTAGTCTCGCCGAAGCTGGCGGTGCTCGTGTTGTGCACGGTGTTAAAACTATCGGCCGTGTCGTCTGCCGAACCCGGCGGTATGGAGTCCTCCACGAGAACCTGATTTTCATCCGCGACGTCGTCGTTAGCGACCACAGCAGCAGCAGCAGCCGCAGGAACGTCGTGAAGGTCAGCGAGAGGAGCTGCTCGCCGCCGCTTCTTCCTCCGTTTGCGTGGCGTGTCCTCTGGAGGACTGGTGACACTCTCACTTCGGCTCACGTCGTCCGCCGTGCCGGTCAACTCCACCGGCATAGCGGTGGTCACATCAGGAGAATCCTGCGGCAAGGAGTCCTCGACTAGCACGTCGTCGCTCTCGGCGGCAGCCACTCGGAGCTTTTTTCTCCTGCGCTTGCCAGGCATGGGCGTACTGATCACGGCGTCACCAGTGCTCGCCATGCTCTCATCTGCCCAGTCAAAGATGTTGCCATTGACAGCTGCCGGATCTTCCGAATCTACAGGCAGAGAATCCTCGACCAGCACAGGATCTTCGCTAGGCGGCTCTGGTAGCTGTTCGTCAGCAGTACTTGAAGGACGCTTCTTCTTTCGCCGCTTCACCGGCGTTCCTTCTGCACCAGCCGGGTCGGCATTGCGCTTACGCCGACGCTTCTTTCCCGTTCTCGGCGGTGACTGGAGCTCGTCCTCCGCTGGGACCTGGGACAGTGTGAATGTTGTGTCGACTGCCGACTGAGTCTGGCCAAACAGGCCTGGCGCTTCTCCAAGGTCCTGTGGCAGGTAATCGGGGTCTAAGCCCGTAGTTCCGTGCGCACTACCACTGATTTCAGCAGCTGAATATTGTGGCTCATCAAATGAGCGGAGATCACTATCTGTGGACACAATCAGCTTCAGCGGGGGAACTTCCGGGGGCTCTACGTACGGCTTGTAAGAATTCTCAGGCTGCAGGGCATTCATTGTAGACGAGTTGATAAGTCTCTTTGGCTGACCGGACTTGCGTCTTCGACTGCCAGTAACGGATGGCGACGGCGTGCAGGAGTTGGTGGAGCCCCACAAATCATTTTGTAGCAGCGATTTGTCAGCTCCTGTGGCGCTCTTCAGACCAGCAGTCAAGGCACTACTGTCGAAGCCCTTGCTTCTTTTCCTGGGAGTATCCATAACATACTATAGTAGTCACTACGAGAACATATGAACGCTCAACAAGATTTGTCAAGAGAAGAATAGAAGCTTTGAAACAAACTGCAGAGCTAGCTAGAGGAGGTATTTTTGTTCGATACAAAAATCAAACCAAATAAAACATTAACTGCTTTTTTTGTAACCGTCTACCGCGTACCGGTATTTTTTCGTTTCTTGAGCTAGTGAGTCGGTATTTTACGACTCATCATTCAGTCAACGGGCCTCGGCAACCATGGCAACGGCCAAGGACGTCGGATCGCGGAGGTAGCAGATGGCGATGCATCCGCCACATCGCTGACGCGCATGTAGTACTGCACAGATACTAGTGACGTAGACTGTAGATCTACACGTCACGATCACGTACACAGTTCGGGCTACGTCTCTAGACTACGTACACAAAGAAAAATAGTGGCACCTACCTGCCTATCTCGTACTCGATCGTACAGCCTACTACATGTACAGGGGATGGCCCACGCGCCCATGCGCCTAGCGCCTGGTAACGGACCGCACGTAACGTTCAGCATACGTAATTTTTGTGTACGTGTGTTCTTTTGCCACGACGTACTGCGTAAGTAATCATTAGTTTTGTTTTGGATCCACGCGGTCCACATCACCTTTGATTTTGAAAGTGTCGAGAAAGTGAATTTGTTGGATGGAATGTGTTGTCTTGTGTAAATAATGAGAGTTGGTATGGTTTGTTATGAGGTCCTTCTTGAAGAGTTGGATAAAATGAGGTAAAGCCTCAACGATTCTTGTTTATACTGTCAGCAGTGACCCGCTCAGTAAGAATGTAGGAACGTCGGTTGGCAGTGCTCTTGGAGGTGACAGCAGTACAAACTGGTCAGCAGAATGGCCAAGAAAGTGCCAGATGAGCGGAGCAAGCTCCTGTCATACGACCATATCTCTGAGATTTCTCCGCTCGTCTCTCTGGGCAAGCTGCGCGAGGAGATGGTCAGCGTGGTCAGCGAGGGATTCTACGGTCAGTCGAGACCGTGCGATGCTGACATAGCCAAGTCGATGGGCTTGAGCGAGGACACGGTGCAAGCACTCGACAAGCTGGCCAGGTAGGTGCTGAACATTAAACTTTAGCCTCCAGCACAATTATTTTGCCACTCTTGTCATGTCCGGCAGAGAACAAAATTATTAATCAATTATGACGTATCCTGAAGCTGAGTGATTTGAGAATGATGTTTTGGTCACTCGTGCACTTGGAAGAAAACGAGTCTAAAGTATGTAGTCAAGCACGCTCACTGTGATGACGGCTGAATCTTGCCCGAGCCTGCCGTAGGCCCTCGGGGCTGCAGGAGAGGGCAAGATTCAGCCATCGCGAAGAGAGTGTGCTTGATTTGATTTACAACACGAAGCAACATATTATCAGGAAAGGTCCAAGGCCGAAGGGACAAATTGTTCCCAAAATGACGTCTGTCCGGCATGATGGCCTAATTATGCCACGCTGCGGCGGGAAGGTTGCCTATTGGCCATGGCCTGGGAAACCATCACGTGTCACATAGGAACACAGCTATCCATCAGGACTAAAACACGTGCACTGTACGAGTGCAATCATGATTCTTATCTTTGGCTGTGTGGTACGGTACAACATGAAAGTCTAACGTTTTAACGACCAATTTTTTTTCGTTATTTGAAGAAACGTTAGCGCGAACCTTTGTTTGAGATGTGTGTGTAAAGATGCACTTACAGCTGGGTGGCCAGGTAGCCGTCGTTAAACTTTCTGCACGTTTTCATGCCAAAATTACGAAAAAACGCTTAACTTTTTGGTCGTTAAACTTTCCGGTTTTACAGTAGATGTAATTGAGTTAGAACTTCAAAATAAACAACAACTTGAGAAGCACATGTGCGTCAGGGATCGAGAGCTACATGTACATACTGCCGTAAAAGCTCGTATTAACGCCCACCCAGTATAACTCCCGCTACCCGCGTACGCGCCCAGGTGCCCAGTGTCAACACTCTTGTCCCGTTTTCTAGCCCACCTCCGTGTAAACGTCCGTGGGCGAAACACACAGGCCCGGTACACAGTGCAGTGCATGCACAGCTCCACGCGCATGCACGGTACTGTAGTGTAGTGTGCTGTACACTGTGCTACCCTTATGCATGTACATACATGTTGTTCGTTGACAGCATGTAACAAGGCGGAGGACACCGTGTTCGCAAACAGTGACCTTACTACAGTCAGACCTCGCATAGCCGCACACATCCGTTTTCCACGAAAATATCCGGATGGGCGAGGGAACCGGATAATCGAACACACATACTGTATGTAAGCATGGCATATGCTGTAAATCGGTAACCAACGATTTTCTTCCAGATGGCGAGGGATCCGGATAAGCGAGGACCGGATAAGCGAGGTCTGACTGTACAACCATCCACGGTTGGTAGAGCCCCGGTCCGTTGGGACCATCTGAACCTTATGGGTGTCGAACCCAGTCCGGTCCTGGCCCTCGTGATGCAAGGGGAGTTTTTAGACTTCTCCTAACTCTAATACCCTGTACTTATATGTGATGGAGTCAGATCTCGTTTAACCGCACACATCCGTTTTCCACAAAAATATCCGGATAGGCGAGGGAACCGCGATAATCGAACACACATACTGTATGTATGCACTACATAATAATTATGCTGTAAATCGGTAACCAACGATTTTCTTCCGGATGGCGAGGGATCCGGATAAAAGAGAACCGGATAAGCGAGGTCTGGCTGTAGTGCGGCATGATGTGAACGTAAGTCTCATTTCACTTATCCGGGCCCGAATTCACGCCCATGTTCTGCAGCTTCACTAAGGTTTCCGTCCAGGGCCTTATGACCTGCTTTTACGGTATGCGCATGCAGCGCAAATGTCACTGCCGTGTCTACTGGCAATGACGGGCACCTCGTTCAGAGCACGGCAGAGGTACCCCATTCGGAGCTCGTGTGCAGAAGCGCGAACATCAAAATTTCACTGTACAGGTCAGACCTCGCTATAACGTAATCTCTGGGGGATGGGAGAAATTATGTTATAGCGAGGTTTATGTTATAGTGAGTTGGGCACACCAATTATGCAATATGTATGTCAAAATGACGCTCTTCACTTACTGATTACAACTGCACTGTTTTATATACAGGTGTGATGATGACTAGCAAAAATGTGTACAGGCTTGTGAGCAAAGGGGTGACAAGAGTCATGTAGTGCGTGTACGTGTACATGTGACATGATTAGAGCCTATAAAAAGTAATGGGAGTAGTAAAATACCGGTATTTTACTACTCCCTGCTTCCGAGGTGGACAGCTCAGTCTCGAATTCGTCGCCAGAAGGCATGCATGCCGTGTAAATAGTCATTTTATACGAGTTTTTACGTTATGCTGAGGTCTCCGTGCGCCCGGGACCCAGCAAACAGTGTGTTATAGCGAACATTACGCTATAGCGGATTATGTTATAGCGAGGAAATTGTGTACAGAAGTGATGCGGTTTCGGCAGGGACATTCACATTTGTACGTTGTAGTGAGGTTTATGTTATAACGGGGGTCGTTATAGCGAGGTCTGACCTGTACGACAAATAAGTCTCGACTGCATGCTTGCACACACCCAGTGTATGGCAGTACTCAAGTTGTCGTGCAGCGCTGTGCGGCAGTACGGTGAATCGTCGGTGATAGCAAATTTAGCACTGAAAATCGGTTTCGTTGCTGAGCACTTTTTCCCGTCAAAAGTTGGCTAAGGCCCTCATCAGACTACGTACATAGAAAATCCAGTACAAAATCACATAAAACCTAAAAGGCAACATTTTTCCATGCCTGCTTTCAGACTACACATTTTACATGCAATATACAGGCAACCTTTGACCCTACGAAATTGCGCAAGGGGCCTGGGATGTGTGAAAGCAGCGGACAGTCGTACCCGGGTACAAAGTTCGTACAACTGCCTGGTGAAAGTACGATAAATGCAGGAAAGTTGCCTTGTACAAGGGTTGGCACCCTGCCTGAAAGGATTGGGCAGCTTTTTAGGCTTCCCGCCAGATTCTTGTTGTTGTCCTGGAAACTTCTATGTAAATGTGACTTATAGGCTGTTTTGTACCTAGTCTGAAGAGGGCCTAAGGAACGTACGTACGACTTTGTGTGCTCGAGGTTGTAACGGCCTAATCTAGCGCTTTTGTTGTTGTTTTGCCCAACGTCTCATGTATAATAATAACATGGACTGCGTATATTTTAAAAGAGAATGAGGGCCAGTTTGGATTCGTCGTACTCCTGATGATTGCAGTAGCATGGAACTTTGAGTTACGACGAATCCGAACTGGCCTTCTTTCTCGTTCGAAACGCTCTGCACTTTGTGCATTGAGCCCTTTGCCGGCACTTTGCCAAACTTACTCCTTTGGACTTCATGGACTTCAGTAGGTATTCACCAGTGCATGTTGGTGTTGTTCTCGTTATGTTCTGTGCTTTGTTTTCTGCAGTGTGGAGAACATGGCCTACGAGGTACGTGCAGCAGCCTGTCTTTATGTGTGTGCACCGTATTTTCCCGGTTATAAGTTGACCTTTTACGACCTGCAAACTAAATGAAAAGAGTTCTGCTTGGACAGGTTGCCAAATATGCCTCCATTGTGAAGAAATGCTGATGTTGTGTGTCAGGAGCCGTAGTGTGTGTGTGTGTGTGTGTGTGTGTGTGTGTGTGTGTGTGTGTGTGTGTGTGTGTGTGTGTGTGTGTGTGTGTGTGTGTATGTGTGTGTGTGTGTTTGTGTTTGTGTGTGTGAGAGAGAGAGAGAGAGAGAGAGAGAGAGAGAGAGAGAGAGAGAGAGAGAGAGACAGAGACAGAGAGTGTGTGTATGCTGATGTTGTCACCTCTTGCTGTTGCTTCTTCATAAATCCTGCCGTATCTCACCTTCTCACTATTCTGCTTGGTGTCCTTGCAACTGTGTGTGTTGTTGCATCTGGTTCGCTGCAGCTGTTGGTGACACATTTCTTACATACTGAATATATCACTTTTTTCATGCACTATTTTAGCTCCTTGTAAAAATCATCGCACCAGTTTGGCGCATATTTCTTCCCCTATATTGACTGTGCTTCCCTCAAGAAGACATGGACTAAAATCTTTAAGTAAAATTTGGCTTGCAAAGCAACACCGGCTCACAATCAATCACTGCTTTTCACAAATTCATTTCAGAAATAAATTCAATTCAACGTTTCGGTCATAAAATAACTGACATGGATTAGTTGAAGCATCAGTTGTACAAGTACCTGTAGTACTCGCCTAAGTCAAGTCTCGCTACTGGTGTGTTGTTCCCATGGCTACAGTTATGTCTTTTCCGAAGAGGGCTCAATTTGCCGAAAGCAAAGAGCGTGTATCTTTAAGTGAACATTGTAGCTGACATTTTCTGGCACGTCATCGTTTGGATAATCAAGGTATTCAACTAGTGCTGAGTTGTCTAGTTGTCTGCCTTTCTCCATGCATACCTCTACGTTGCTGTTCATCTAGGACCCTATCATTCCGAAGAACCTCTCCAACTATACAGCGTTTCAGTTTGACAAGGAAGACATCAAGCTCGAGACGTTACAGAAGTGCAAGTAGGTGTAACCGAGCGAAGACACATGCTAGCTGAGGACTGTGTTCTTTTCTGCTGTGGTGTGTGTGTGTGTGTGTGTGTGTGTGTGTGTGTGTGTGTGTGTGTGCGTGCGTGCGTGCGTGCGTGCATGCGTGCGTGCGTGTGTGTGTGTGTGTGTGAGAGAGAGAGAGAGAGAGAGAGAGAGAGAGAGAGAGAGAGAGAGAGAGAGAGAGAGAGAGAGAGAGAGAGAGAGAGAGAGAGAGAGCATGTGTACCTGTGTGCAGCTTCATGGTTTGTTCTAGACATCTACTTGCAGCTCACAACTAAGTGATGAAAGTAATCTTCTTTCACCTGAAAAGCACCACCATTTCCACTGTACTTTCTGGCACTGTAAAGCCGGCTGATTGATTATTTCGCACGGTAACTGCTTCCACACTTCTTTCTTCTCTATTTTTGGCAGCCGTCCTGTCACATTGTGTGTGTGTGTGTGTGTGTGTGTGTGTGTGTGTGCTTGCGTACATGTGTGTTCGAGTGTGTGTGTGTGTGTGTACGTGTGTGCTTGCATACGTACGTGTGCGTGCTTGTGTACGCATGTGTTTGTGCCTGCACGTCTCTGCCTGGCAGGAGCTTGTCCGCCGAGTTTCAGCAACAAAATACCACTTTTGAACAACTTCCTAAGCAGGTGAGGGATAAAGTTGCTGTCATTTCTCTGCTTGCGGTGTTTGGTGTTAACTGGAGCCTAATACGGAGCTGTGGGTTACCGTTTGTTAAAACACACCCTGTATATGCTTCCTTGGTTGATTATCATGCGTTCAACCTTGTCCTTTTTGCATAGTTATGACTTGAATTGTTCTCTCTCTGTCTCTCTCTGTCTCTCTCTCTCTCTCTCTCTTTCTCTCTCTCTCTTTCTCTCTCTCTCTTTCTCTCTCTCTCTCTCTCTCTCTCTCTCTCTCTTTCTCTCTCTCTTTCTCTCTCTCTCTCTCTCTCTCTCTCTCTCTCTTTCTTTCTTTCTGTCTGTCTCTCTGTTTGTCTATCTATCTATCTATCTCTCTCCCCCTCCCTCACACACACTGTTCTAACATGCACAGACCCAACGACTACTCACTAGCCAAGTGAAGTATAAGCTAGCAAGAGAGGACTTACGTGTTCAGGCTCCTGAAGTACTCATCTCCTATGCCATCGCTGACACCAAGAGGCTTCTCGCCAAGTTTGTGAGTAGGGGTTCTAGTCGAGGACAATGATTACCCATATATCGGTGTTTACTTAGTGTTCGACGATTCCATCTTACTCCATTATCCTTGTAAAGCGCTCGCAGGTATTCTGACCGTTGTGTGTGTGTGTGTGTGTGTGTGTGTGTGTGTGTGTGTGTGTGTGTGTGTGTGTGTGTGTGTGTGTGCGCGTGTGTGTGCTCTACTGGTAGCCGAAACGCAATCAGATCCTGCCCTCTCACTTCAGCAAGGGTTTCACGATCCTGGGCTCTCAGGTATGGCGTAGTGTGTTTGTTATGCATTGTGCTGGCTTGTTGTTATGTCCGCGTGCCCACGTCACACTCTTAACCAACACAAGGAATCCTGGTGCAAACAACTGGCTTCTTCATGAAACTCCACACGAATATAAAATGAGCTCACGGGCAGAGCAGGATTGTCCTGACCCATGGCAAAGCGATTTCTATGACATCACGTACACATACGCATCAACTCCTCCTTTCAAAGTTCAAGAAAATGGAAAGATCAGCATTCTTTGCAATGGCTTTGAGGGCCACTACGAAGTTGTCGAACAACTCGCCTGCCTCCTGCCGACGCTTCGCAAGCGCTGTTCGGTCCAAGGCAACGTTGCGCTGGCTCCTGAGAAAGCCATGAATGGCGTCCAGCACATCCGTGACGGACACACAAGAGCCTATATCAATAGCATGCTCCAGAGTGGCAAGTATGTTTCTTACCAAACGTACGCAGATGTGCCAACTGCTCTCGGATACTCAATTTATCTAACTGGATGAGGGTGGCATAATCGTCCCACCGGGCTCGCCAGCCAGAGAAATCATGAAGGGAGATTCCGGAGTCTAACTCGGAAGCGGGCTTCGATAATTTTCACGAAACGAAAGAGTTTAGTTACGACCCTCCCCGCTGAACGAAAAATATATTGACTTCACAGCTAGAATGGATTGATGTTTCAGCTATCAATATTTTTCAGAACGAAACTCTCCTCGACCCACCCACCCGTAAAGAAACTTTTTCGTTTTGTGTAAAAGATTGATAATAATAATAATAATAATGGACGGCCCCTTATGACGAGTGCACAATGAACCCTGTCTAAGACGACCGCTCAAGGGACCTTCAAAACGTGGTCTCTGTTACCAGGCGGTCTCCTTATCCAGGGTCATTTGACTGGAAAATAGCATCCCTTGGTCCTGGTTTCAGTGGTCTTGTGGGACGGGTGAGTGCCTTATCCGAGTGGTCACTGCCTTGACAACTTTTACTTTACTTGCAATGCAGACAGACCCTATCGCGTCTAGGATATGATAAGTAACGTAAAGTACCGCCAGAGCGCCCCACCAACTCGTCCTTCCGTGGTCGTGCTGTGGAGGTGGTGTCCTGTCTGAAGGTCATACGGCATGTACCTTGTACGCACATTGCACACTGTGCAGACAATCTGTACTCAGTTTACGGCGGAGCCCCACACGAAAACATGCTAAGCGTGACCTTACAGTCCATTTCAAAACTATAGACACGTACCTAGGCAAAAACCGTTATGCCAGCATCTATACCACATAAAATCTGTGATCACTTTGTGCATAATTTTTTCCGAATTGGGCGTCTGTTATCCAATCGTTTAGAAACTATATGAGAGTAATTGTGGAGCGGACCTGAGCAATATTCCGAAAACTATTCTCAAAAAGCTCCAGCCAAATTTGAAATATTTCAAAAACCCTACGCGTCTATAGTTTTGAAATGGACTGTAGTGCACTAAGGTTCTCACACCGTGCAAACTTTGTTGTACTCTGCCATTTGATTTTCCTTTACCTGGCTATAAAATCAGGGTGGGGCGGTCTCGCAGTACTTTACGGTATATCTGCTCTGTACTGCGGGCTATCCAGTGCGCACACTGTACGCACCGAATATTTTACTGTACCAGCAGCCAGAACTCTGGAGCGGAATATTACATCGCCATGAGCATTGGGTCATTGGAGCGGTCTTGGAAAGGGCTTTCCAGAGGTGTTCTTCGGTGTTGCGAGACCTAGAAAGATGATCGAACGGTGACAAATTATTGTGCAATTCAATCTGAGCTAATTTCGCAGTAGGTTCGCTCGATTACTCCCATGGATAGAATCTCGTCATTCGACTTCATGTAATGCGCCCTGGAATCGGTTCGTAATCGATTCATCCTATTCACATGGGGTGATGAGAATAGCCAGGCGTAATTCATGAATGGATTCAAAATTGATTCGCGGGCAAAATCGAACGCATTCACTGTTCTACTCTAAATGGAGTCGAAGTGTAAACTCCACTTCTTATGTGCACGGTGTATTCCAGTTGTACTAGTCCCTGCAGCTGGCATTAGTCACAGCAAAACTGCCCAGATCCGGGCAGGTTGGGATTGAGCACTGCCCGTAACTATGAATTGACCGCAACCCAGAACATCCAATTCAATATGTATGTCATACAAGTACTTAGTGAACGCAAGTAAACAATTTTTTTATGCCAATCATTAGTTTTTAATGGGCCATTTTTTTATTTATTAAAAAGCCATTTTTGTGAATCTACTTGTAGATGGGTCAGAAAGGTGCCGGTAGACGGATGGGTCCGGATTAGGGGTGTCCGGATGGGTCCGGATTAGGGGTGTCCGTATAGGGGAGGTTACTGTATTTCCAATTAGGGATATTTCATTCACATCCAGTAGAGAGGTTATTGTAGTTTCACAAATTTTCGGTACTTTCTGTGCGTTTGTTTCATACCTAAAACTCCAATGCACCGAACAAACACTAACACACATAATCCAATAGGGAACTGCTTCTCTGTACCGAAAATTTCTGTTCACCTAACCTGGCCTAACTTGAGCACCGACAATTTCTGAAATTAGAGTACTCTCTTGTGATGGTATGGTTCTTTATCTAATCGTTTTTGTAGTCTTTCCGCAAGCGCTTGGCATTGATTCTCTCTTGCTTTTCCTACTCATTTCTTGTCTCGGACACATATAGACACTGGAAGATGTCTGGAAGAACTTAGCATGTCCGTGTGATGAGCGCTGTGTCGGTGAGCTGAGCTCCAATCCCAAACGCCTCAACACTGTCAAAGCCAAGGTACAGGATTCTGTGTGTGTGTCTCTGTGTCTCTGTGTGTGCGTGTGTGTGTGTGCACGTATGTGCACGTGTGTGTTTGTGTGTGTCTGTGTGTGTGCGCACATATGTGCACGTGTGTGTTTGTGTGGGTGTGTGTGTGTGTGTGCACGTGTGCATGCGTGTGTGTGTGTGTGTGGTGGGGGTGGGGGTGCACGCGTGCGCATGTGTGTGTGTGAATTATCTCATGCAGCAGCTCAACTATGGTTGTTCAACTGAAAAATAAATAGCAGAAGTTTGTGTTCTGTGCTTGCTGCTGTTGCTGTTGTTCAGGATGTCTACTCGTCAGCAATGTTCTATATTGAAGGCATTTTCTACAACCACAAGCCCACTGCTGATGGCAGCGATCTCAGCATGTGAGTAAGCTGCTGTGCACCGCAACTGCCCACTGTCCAGGGGGGGGGGGGGGATCTAGTTGAGGTTGCATGGCATGGATGCTCTCTTCAATCACAGAATGTTGTCGTCTCTGTAACTTTGTTTAGATGTTCATTCCGGTAATTATGACCGCGGTCTGGGAGACGGGAGAGAGAGAGAGAGAGAGAGAGAGAGAGAGAGAGAGAGAGAGAGAGAGAGAGAGACAGAGAGAGAGAGACAGAGAGAGAGAGAGAGAGAGACAGAGAGAGAGAGAGAGACAGAGAGAGACAGAGACAGAGACAGAGAGAGAGACACAGAGAGACACAGAGAGAGACACAGAGAGAGAGACAGAGAGAGAGACACAGAGAGACACAGAGAGAGACACAGAGAGAGAGACAGAGACAGAGAGATTGGCTATTCTTTTCTCGTCTAGTCACTCCTATGTTTGATGTTTGGCTCTCCCTGTACATGTCTCTGTGTGTACCCGCACGTGTGTGTGTGTGTTCATGTGTGTGTGTGCGTTCGTATCTATGTGCGCTTGTGTGTTGACATGCACATCTGTTCGTCCTCTGTGTCTGTCTTGCATGCAGGCCTGTGATAGACTATATAAAACGCAAGGATAAGGACGTGGGATATCTATGCCCGTCTATTGTTGAGAAGGCATCGGCGTTGAAGAAACACAACAGTCTGAAAGTGCGTCTCGATTCGCTGAAGGTCCGCTTCGGCTTGCCATACCTATTCATCCACCAGGGAGACTGTGAGCATCTTATCGTCTTCCGCGACATTCGGTACGTACTTCTGTCGCGTGCAGCTGTTGTGTTTGGCAGTACCAAGAATACACAACCCCCAAGAGTGTGCAAATAACTGCCTGCACAACCTCTATGCAGTGCTGCGACGGCCGAACTTCACATCACTTAACGTGGTTCCAAAGGTTACGCTGGGTAACAGTGCAACTGACCACCAGAGAGTTGAGCCCAATGCTGGGTTGCATACAACCCTGTTACGTGTATCAATCATGCACACAATGCGAATAATGTGTACGAGTTTTTCACATGATGTGAAGTTCTGCCGCCCCAGACTCCATAGCTGCAGTTAGACACTCTTATCTTACCTTGGCAGTACTCCAGACAAAGCCCTGGGGAATCCCAAGTTGTCCCCTGCTGGATCAAGAGAAGAGGAGGGAGGGAGGGGTGGCGGTGCCCTTTGCGGGCAGGGTGTATTGATGCCCTTTACGGGGAGCGGGTAGTCCCCTTCATGGCTAGGGGATGGTGGTGCCCTTCACGGGGAGCGGGTAGTCCCCTTCATGGCTAGGGTGTATTGGTGCCCTTCACGGGGAGCGGGTAGTCCCCTTCATGGCTAGGGGATGGTGGTGCCCTTTGCGGGGAGCGGGTAGTCCCCTTCAAGGCTAGGGGATGGTGGTGCTCTTCACGGGGAGCGGGTAGTCCCCCTTTATGGCTAGGGGATGGTGGTGCCCTTTGCGGTGAGCGGTTGGATCTCCCGCGGAAGGGGATCAGTGAAACACTACCCATAGAAGACCTATTCTTGGTAGAAGACTAATCTATTATAACTGCAGCTGTAAAAAATATGTGCCACAAAACCAGCTCAATGGGACACATGCCGCTCTAGGATTCCACAATCAGAGACCAGGTGTACGTGTACATAATGATCCCCTCCCCCACCACCACCACTACCACCACCATCCCGTGCAACTTCACCATCCGTGCTGGCCCGACAGAATTTCATGTTGACGCCGTAGTATGATGGAATGCACGGTGTTCGCATATGTTCAGATGTATGCTATGCCAGTGATGGACGCAACGCGACTTAGTCCTGTACAAACTTGTGCCAGCAAACGAACACATGTGCTGGGTTGTCACCGGTGTACAAACGCTGGAAATCACGTCTGCAAAGAGCATTGTTTAACCCTTTGTCTGTCTATCTGTCTGTATGCCTGCCTGCCTGCGTGCCTGTTTGTCTGCAGGCTCCTGCACCCTGCAGATCCGGCTGACCGTTCCGTCTACCCCCTGCTCACGTCGTTGAAAAGGTTCAACAGCATGCTCAGAGAACCGTGTAATTGCTGCAAGGAGCTGAATGCATCGTAAGTGACGACAGCAGTGCACACACACAACAATGTCCTGTGTGTCTTTCTTGTCTGTACAGTCAGCAAGAGTTGTATATGATTACTGTATGTCAACAAATATTCGGTGCATATTTATTTGCGGCTATTTTCGGCCTGGTCGTGTTTGGCCGAAAATTTGTTGCAGCCGAATTTTCGTTTTGCAAGATTCAGTGTGACAGTATAATATACAGGCGGCAGCAGCACAGGATGAAAATTTGATGGGGCCGAAATGGGTTTTTAGCCGCAAGTTTGTAGACTTACAGTACCAGCAAGTAGAGTAAACGTTGTCGATCAATGCCGCTTGCATGATTTGTAGGCTGGCTGCATCAATAATAGTGTTCTGCGTCGTTTCCAGGCATGCTTGGTAAAATATTATTTTTTCCTTGTTAAAAAAAAAAAAAAAAAGGACAGTAGAACCTGTCAAGACGCGCACTCGGATACGGCGACCACCTGTCCTAGAAGACCACTGAAACCAGGACCAAGGGATGCTATTTCCAGTCAAATGACCCTGGATATTAATGAGACCACCCGGTGACAGCGACCACGTTTTGAGGGTCCGTCGAGCGGTTGTCTTACGCAGGTTTCGCTGCAGCACGAGCGCGTCCCACCACCACCACGTCCTTTCGTGGCCGTGCTGTGGAGGTAGCGTCCTGGCTGTTGGTCGTACGACACGTACCTTGTACACGCATTGCACACCGTGCAGTCCATCCATGGTCAGTTTAGCTTCGGGCGGATTTGAGCTCCGCACAAGAACATGCTAAGGGCGCGTTTGGTTGGTACGAACTAGAACAGGATTCACCAGAACAGCGCGTTTGGTTGGGACTGCACCTGTTCTGGGTCGGCCAGAACATGTTCTGCTTGCTCCGGCCTCGAGGCCGGAGCAGACCGAGCAGTTTCACTTTTTCACAGTGAAACCTGGCGGGAACATCGATTTTGGTCCCAAATGATCACGTGCATACGCTTTTGGGTTGGACTCGTTGTACCGTACAAAGTGACCATGGTGACCCATACACATTTTCAAGTTTCACACATTTTTCCACGAAAATGTGCTCTGTTTCTGGAGTACCGTTTGGTTGGCATGAGGCTGCTCCATGTGCACCAGCTGTTCGATCCTGTTCTAGATCGTACCAACCAAACGCACCCTTAGTGTAGCCTTAGTACACTGCACAAGAAGGTTTTCACGCGAAAATATATACAGAGGCCATTTTTTTTTACGAAAAATGATTTATATATACATAAATGCATGTACGAGGTCACTACACTCGCGTCGTACAAACTTGGTTGCGCCTGCCCTACGGTTTTCCTTTCCCTGGCTGGAAAATCAAGGCGGCGTGCTCTCGCGAGACGTGACGCTCTCACGGCACTTTACGGCACATATTCAACTCACACCTACGACCTTAGGCGAGACCAAAAAATTGAGATTCCCGGGCCCTCCCGCACCAAAATCGAGCCAAAGCCAATTTTTTTAACAGTTCATATATGTACATGTACAGTACTGATCGTGTGAGTAGATCTGTGACGTGGAGTCACACAAACCCGAGCTTGTACGACTCCCTGATGTACAGATCAGGGCCATCGTTGGTCGAAATATAGAAAAATTGACCGGGTAAACCTGTTGTCTGTAAAAAAAATGAATAAAAATTTCCGGAAAATGCTGTAAAAAAAGTTCAACATGACATGTACATATAGTCATGTACATGCATGGGAAAAAAATAAAAAATAAAATTCGCCCGCCCGACCAATTTCACATGGGTCCTGCCCGGGAATCTCGACTTTATTTTGGTCTCGCCTTAGTCCATCCAGTGTGGTGTGTGTGTGTGTGTGTGTGTGTGTGTGTGTGTGTGTGTGTGTGTGTGTGTGTGTGTGTGTGTGTGTGTGCGTGTGTGTGTGTGTGTATGTGTGTGTGTGTTTGTGATTTGGGCCAGTCATGGAAAGTGAAAGAATAAAATTAAAGTAAATTATCGTGTCCGTTCCCAAAGGGAACTCACGACAGCCGCTAACACCGGTAAACCCTAGCGGAAGATGCAGCACCTAATGGTGGGAGTGAGGGAAGAATCCATATCCGGAAACTCCAAGAAGGGATTGAACGAAAACGAAAGAGCTTGGAAGCTCAGGGCCCTATGCTATGCTTTTTTGCCTTGATGACTTAGGCCACACTTTGTTTTTTCTATGTTTCTCGTCTGCAAATTTTAACAAAAGGTATGCGGGCGGGCGGAAAAAACAAAAGCCAAGGAAAAAACAAGAACAATTTCTACTGAAAACTGGATACATTTTACATGTGTTTGCGTGATTCATACAAGACACTGCGTATACCATGTAGAGAGTACTACATTGTACAATCATGTACATGTGATGAAGTCCCATACATGATTGCACTACTGACTGTACATAGTCATTATCACATCAGCCCACGAATATCAGGCAAACTACAACAATGAGAGTATTAAGTTTGATGAATACGAGATGGCGAAGAGAACATACATTTATCTGCTATCGCATCAACAAACGCTTTCCCACTCGTCTTTTTTGGTTTTGTTACTTCAACGTTCTTGTGTCCGGTTATCAAACTCTTGTCTCCACGCTGCTCATCTTTTCCTCGCCATGCGTCCTTTGCTTGGATTTTCTGCCCACGACATCGTTCCACAGACGCCAGTTGCCACGGAACTCGTCCGACTTACGGTATTCCTGGGACCCGCGAGGCTCAGGCAGTGAACGACTGAAAGCTTCGTCATGGCAGCCTTCATCGCAGAGAACGGACGGAGAGCGCTCCTTTGCTGCTGTGGTGCAAACTTTTACGATTTTGATTGACACATCTAGCTGCTGCAGCATGTGCAGCGCACATACATGTACAATGTACGTAGTATGACCTTTTTTTTCTTCCGAAATTTCTGAAAACCTACGCGGGCTATGACGAGAAACATAGAAAAAACAAAGTGTGGCCTTAGACAAAAAAAGCATAGGGATGTTATAAATCTTACAAATTTCTACTTTTTGTTGTTAGACATAACCTGGGATTCGAACCCGCACTATCGCCCTGCATGCATCCCCCGATTCACTTCGCATACATACTTATTCTTCCAAGTTGCTTAACGTTATGATATTGTATTTGAAAGCCCTATTTGAATATGCATTGTGGCCAGCCGTCTTTGATTGTACGGTACGGTACAGGTACGGTCGAGGGTAATACGACACCATCTACCGCCTTGATGACGGCAAAAACAGAATAGGGATGTTATATATTTTTCAATTCTCCTATTTTTTTCAGGCATTACCTGGGATTCGAACCCGCACTATCGTCCTTCATGCATTCCCCCATACACATCGCATTCATACTCATTCTTCCGAATCCAAGTTGCTTCACGTTATGATCTTGCGTTTGAAAGCCCTATTTGAATAGTGCGGCCAGCTGTATGTGGCCAGCTGTGTTTGATGGTACGGTATGGTAGGGGACAGATACGGGATAGCGCCAGGCGTGACACAAACACACAAACACCAAATTAAAGCTGTGTGGACCCTGGCTAGCGCCAGACGTTACTGAAGTAACGTCTTCTGCATAGCTACGGGAATAATTATTATTCAAACTCCGGCAAGTTTGTACACCATTTCTTGATTTGTGATTTTTGGCCTTGGGACGTACTAACTGCCCGTTCCCGTGTGTGTGTGTCTGTGTGTGCGTGTGTGTGTCTGTGTGTGCATGTTTGCAGGTGGATGACATTAGATGACGAAGCAGCACCGTACTCGCCCTGTTTTTTCTGTGAGCACTGTTTTCTTGCACTGCACTATGATCAAAACGACAAGCCCCTGTGTTCATTTCGAGTGAGTACACTTCTGTGTTTACTTTACTGTCACACATACCGCGGCTTCTATGACTTTCTTGGTGAAATTTTGCAGGCTTCTATGCAAGACGGGTATTTCTATGTATGTCAACACTAAAACCAGGCTTATGTGTGATTTGATGGGCCCGAAATTGCGGCTTCTATTCAAGTGCGGCTTTTATACAAGACTTTACGGTATGCATGTGTGCATTGTCTTGGGCTTTGAGGAAATTGTTGTCACTGACATTGTTCGTACTATGTAGCTCTCCCTGCCCTTGTGTTTTCGACCCTGTCTGACTACGGTCCTCAGCTCTGTCTGTCCATTTTTCTCTCTGTCTATCTATCTATGTGACATATCTGTCTATCTATCTATCTATCTATCTACTCACTCTGCGGACAGAACTGTTTCGTCCTTTGTGGGCTCATTACCGCAGCACAGAGAAAATCTAAAATCTATTTTTCTCTCACTGTGTGTGTGTGTGTCTCTCTCTCTCTCTCTCTCTCTCTCTCTCTCTCTCTCTCTCTCTCTCTCTCTCTCTCTCTCTCTCTCTCTCTCTCTCTCTCTCTCTCTCTCTCTCTCTCTCTCTCTCTCTCTCTCTCTCTCTCTCTCTCTCTCTCTCTCTCTCTCTCTCTCTCTCTCTCTCTCTCTCTCTCTCTCTCTCTCTCTCTCTCTCTCTCTCTCTCTCTCTCTCTCTCTCTCTCTCTCTCTCTCTCTCTCTTACACACACCCACTTGAAACTTCAACAAAACTCGTCTTCCTAATGTGCTGAGCCTCGATAATAATTATTTGTTCCTTATATATTCTTCTCGTGGATCGCAATAAACCTCTGTTTTCAATTTGTTCCTCTCCCGTCCATGCTGTAGTCGAAAACTGGTAAATGATTTTTTGTTTTTGTTTTGCTTCTTTGTGTGCCCGCGTGCGCGTGTGTGTGTGTGTGTGTGTGTGTGTGTGTGTGTACATGTCAGGCGTATCACAGTATTGACGAAGACCGTGGCTATCTGGAGAGATCAGGCTATGGTGAAGGTGCGTTAAACTTAGTGTAGATCAATTCTACCGAACAGAGGGCAATTTCACTCAATGCTTCCAAGACTACATAACCGCCAAGAGTGTGCAAGTCCAGCCTATGGGGTCTGCGATGGCAGAACTTCACATCACGTGACGGACCCGTACACATTATGTACACCATGTGCATGATAGACTCAGGGTTGCACGCAACCCTGCTTTGGGTTCAAGTCTCTTGGGATGACTTTGCACTGTTCGCCAGTGTAACCTTTTGAACCATGTCAGGTCATGTAAAGTTCTGCCGCCGTAGCACTGTATAGAGGTTGTGTAGGGCCTTTCACCGCACTATAATCCAGCATGAATTTGCGATGTAAGTTGCTCTCGTGGGATTTTACAGTACATGCCCTGCAAACTTTGTTTTGTGCAGACTATGCCATGCTGATTCTAACCAATAGCATCTGTTTGTGTGTTTGTGTGTGTGTGTGTATGTGCATGTGTGTGTACGCGCGTGTGTGTGTGTGTGTGTGTGTGGGTGTGTGTGTGTGTGCGTGCCTGTGTACGTTTGTGTGTGCATGTGTGCGCGTGCATGTGTGTGTGTACGTGTGCATGCCTGTGTGTGTTTGTGGGTGTGTTTGTGGGTGTGGGTGTGTCCGTGTGTGTGTGTGTGTGCGTGTGTGCGCGTACATGTTTGTGCGCGTACATGTGTGTGCGCGTACATGTGTGTGCACGCGTGTGTGTGTGTACGTACGTACGTACGTACTTGTGCATGCATATGTGTGTATGTATGCATATGTGTGTATTTGTATGTTCATCTATAGGGGTGGAGCGGCATGTACCGGACATGATACGCGCCTATCACAGCCACCCCGACAACCTGACAAAGAGCAAGCGTGGCCGGGGCAGGGGCCTGCAGTATCACACTCATTACCCGGACAACGACGGAGTGGTACCATGGCGACCACGCTTGCCCGTCAAACTCCGACAAACCCTGCTGGAAGACGGGGACCTTTCACCGCACTCGGAAACAAGCACGGACGATGAATTCGATGACAGCGACAGTGATCTCAGTGATGGTTTTGAAGTTGTCTATAATGACCCGGACAAAACCTACGTGCCACGCGGGGGTACTTGTCCGAACACGCGGTCCAGGCAGCGTCTGACCAGTGTCGGAGCAAGCACCACGGAGGAGACGGGCGACGAAGAGGTGCGCAGCATACTGGACAACACAATGCCGGCGGTGGGAGCTATGATGCCAGCAGCCGCCGAGCCCTGGATTCCCGGCGCCGCCGCCGACAACGATACATCGGCTGTTAATGGGAACATTGCCACGCCACCATGCTCGCAGTCGGCCAGTGCTTTGAGCTGTCGTGTCTCCAGCAGCCGTCGCAAGTCAGTCCCCAAGAAGCTTGTCGCCGTGTACTCCTCCTCCGATGCCACCACCGACATGGACGAGAACGAAGACGAGGGCGTGGACGCGAGTGCGAGCGTTGAGAGCGGCGCACCACAGCTGGATAGCCTAGCACTGCTCGCCGACATGTGGTCTACACACGTGCCGGAAGCCAAGCCCAAACGCAAGCCAGCCAAGTTGGGAGCGGCGGCAGCAGCAGGAGCATCAACACGACCACTGCCGCCCAGTGCTCAGCTGAGGAGATATGAGCCGCCCGCTAAGCGATTGGCAACAACGAATGGCGCTGCAGCATCACCCACAGTGCACCGGTCACACGTTCCCGTCAAGGTGGAGTTCAAAGTGTCCGTGCCTGACGGATCACCACCCCGTGCTGTAGCGCCGTGGATACCGCGATTAGTAGACGATCCGGAGTGTGACGAGCCTGCTGCTGCTGGTAACAATGGTGACTACGGTGCTACGGGTATGGTTTCTGCTGCGGCGGTCGCTGCTCTTGTTGCCGCTGCCACCGGCTGCACGCAAGCGCCAGGTGTGTCTCCGTCGCCGTCGTCGCGGGGTCTGGGCATGCCAGCGAATGGCAACGCTGCCACCGGTATGGTCAGGCCTACGACTGCTGGGTCGTGTTCCAGCGCGACCAGCGGTGCAACACGGCGTAAACCTGCCGCAGTTGCCTCCAAGAAGAAATTGGCTGCCTCATCGCCGACGACGACGACGCCCAACCGTTTTGCCACTTCTCCAGCGCAATCACCGTGGGTGGCATCGACGATTGGCACGCCGACGGAATCTGCTACGGTGACATTCAGGACGCCGCAGATCTCTGCACCATCGTCGCCGAGTTTTTCGCTTCCCGGCAATCTGCTGCGCCCGCTGTCGCCGCCAATTGGTCCCATATCCCTGCCAACTTTGCCCATGATGGCTGCCCTGGATCCCATGTCACTTGCTGGTAGTACATCTCCCTCAAGGCCACAAGCAGCGGCAGCACCAGCAGCAAAAGCAAGAGTGAAACCAGGAGCAAAGGCAGCAGCAAAAGCAGCGGCGAAAGCAGCAGCAAAAGTAGCAGCAGAAGCAGCAGCAGCAGCAGCAGCAGCAGCAGAGGATACCAGTATCCCGTCTAGGCGATCCTTACGACAGGCACGTGCACGTTTTACAGCGAGCTATGCAGAAGAAGAAGAAACGTGACAGCGTGGGTTCACAAGGCGGTACTCGGCAACAACCAGTTTTGCATTACCGGTGAGTTTTCCTTCAGCTGCCATGGATATTTGTACTTCGTAAGTTTTTGACACGAAGAAATGAGAAAATCTACTTGGTCCATTCAAAAGCAGATCTCTCTGTTCTGCTAGGATTTTCCCCGCTTTTTGGTGTCTCGTACATGCTGGCCCTCAGGTTATTTGTGCTTTTTTCAGCCATGATAGCCCAGTTTTCACGCCCCGCAGGTGAAATAGCATAGCAGCGATCTGGTGCACATAGATGACTGTTGTCTGTTGTGTGACTTGAGTATCATTGCACAAGGCAGCCTACTGTTCAGCCTTGTGTTACGACCGGCAGGCCTTGAAACCCTTGAACCCTTTTTTTATTTTTTATTATTGATAGGTTATCATTAACATCCGTCTTAACTGCAGACCCACTCTTGTCAGCCTTATGTCCATTCGGATGGACTCCCTACTTCAGACTCAGTTCAAAGTACTTTCACGCCGCGACGTTATTGCACGGTCGAACTTTTTTTTATGTCTGTCATCTTTGTCCTTTGTCAACCAAGACTGCCTTAGTTTCTTCTTTTCTCATCTCGTTTCTTTTTTCGCTGATGTAATATCCACGACTGGTCGTGGTGCTAATTTCTTAACAATCCTCCTTATGGACGCTCAACGTCAAAGTATGTTCCGCAATCCGCGGCGTTGACATGCTGTCAACCTCTTTTTATGTCTGCTGTCTTGGTCCGTTGTTACGGGAAACCAAGGCTGTTTATAACTTTCTCTTTCCTTTCGTTTCTTGTCCCAGTGATGTAATTTCCACGACTGGTCGTGACGAACTTTCTTTCTGATGTCCTACGCGAGGTTTGGTACACTGTCGTACTCTTTTATACCTGCCGTCTTTGTCCGTTTTAACGGCAAGCCAAGACTGTCTTAGTTTCTCTTGCGTGTGGTCTCTTGTCCAACTTATTTAATTTCCACGACTGGTCGTGGCGCTTTTTTTCTCTCGATTATCCTGCCCTATCCTTGTACTTGAGTTTTGTCGTTCCGGCTTGATTGCCATGACACTGAGTCTTTGTAACTAGACACACTGCTCTTGGAATGTGGATATATTGGATGCATGGAAAAGGGAGGAAGGTGGGTGTCCCTGCAGCGAAAGAATCTGAGAGCAGAGTGGCTTACACAAGCTCCACAGCCCAGACTGCTGATCAGGGCAGGCCCCTTCACTCCTAGGATCCGGGGAGGGACATGTGGTGATGATGGGCCCCTGGGCTGTCCCTCCAGGAAATCGCGATTCCACGGATGCAACAAATTTCGCGATTTTGGCCCAAACCGGCGATTTTCAGGAAAATCCGCGATTTCCCGTGTTTTTTCTTGTTTTCTGCACTATATCTCACATTTTTCTGCACTTTTCACGCAGTGCTTTCCATGATCCAGTAGGTTATTTGCACAGTCAGCAGCAGTAGATCTACTCGTACTACCGAGTAGATATGCGATGCAACAAATTTCGTGATTTGGCCCAAATCCGCAATTTTCTGCAAATAATTCCGCGGATTCCTGGCAAGTTCTGCATCATTCCGCACTTTTCGTCGCATTTTTTGTTGTTTTCTGCCGCAATTTCTTGCGCAAGTTTTCGAGAGTTTTTTCCGCAAATTCCCGCAGGGACAGCCTGGGGGTGTGGGATCGGGGAGAGACATGTGGCGCTGATCACCCCCATGTCACGTTGACGTGGTGGGTACGAAAAATTGGGAAAAAACTCCCGGGGTGTGGACAGGATAAAACATTTTTCAGAAGAGTCTTCGAGGAGGGATTATGCTATCAATCCTTATTCTTTGTTATGCAATGCAACCGTCTGAATCATACAGGCTGACACAGCACAGACTTTTTTTCATTCAACTCTAGATTTGAACCACATCACAAGAGTTTGAAAGTCAATAACCAAACCATGCAGCCATCAGCCCTTTGTTATCCGTAGCCCAGTGAAAGAACTACAAAAACACTTTCTGGGAAACAGATCGATAAAACACTTCCTCCAACCTTCCTGCTGTATCAACAACCATACCCACACCACACACAGTGACACACACACAGGCACGATTTCTGCTCTCAAACACAAGGTCACAGAAACACATAGAAGAAGGAAAACAAGTTCTTTTTCTTTGTGGAGCAAAATGTGAACACCCAGAGAGTGAGAGCAAATATGGCCACAAGAGAACACTACAGTTGCACGAGAAAGAGAGAGAGAGAGAGACAGAGGAGAGAGAGAAAGAGAGAGAGAGAGAGAGAGAGAGAGAGAGAGAGAGAGAGAGAGAGAGAGAGAGAGAGAGAGAAAGAGAGGAGAGAGAAGCAACGGAGAGATAAAAAAAAGTCAAAACAAGACACGACAAGCATCTTTTTTTCGTATGAAACCACCAACAGCGGGGTAAACTGTACTTTAAATCGAAGAAAACCTTGAGCAAATCCTCAATTTTTGATAAAAGCGTCCAAAGAGGAGGACAAATCCTCGGTTTTTGATAAAAGCTCTCGAGGAGGCCACGAGGTAATCTAAAAAACGAAGACAAGAATAACATAACATGATACGAAGAAGTAAAAGCGGCCAAGTGGCACCGCGGTGTGCTATAAAACGTGTGCGGCTGGCAATATGTCGCCTGGTGGTTCTGTGATAAGGTTTTCGTTTTTCATGCTGGGAATAAGCTTTTCACTGCCACGGCGTGCCGTGCGCGCGTGTGTGTGTGTGTTTGTACGAAGATGGATGTGCTGGTACACTACGAGCACATAGGTGGAGTAGAGAAAACATGCAGGATGCATGGCAGGTGTTCAATACTATCGAGAAAGACGGTGGCTGCCACAAGTTCAGAGTGCAGTAGTCAGTCCATTATCTGTGCGCACAGTGACAGGCGAACACGGTTCCTGGCAGTTCTTGCGCTGACCTCCCTGCGACGAGCCAGTGCTGGCATCCATGTCAGCAGCCGACTTCTCTGCAACCACTACACAGCCATTCTGTCCTGTCGAGGTGCATTCTGATTCTTGAGGTGAGTCTGCATCGCAGTCGACTACCTTGATCGACTCTGAGCTTTTCGTGACCGCTTGACATTCATCACTTGCCTCGGGCTGTCCCTTGCTCTCGGTGTCTTTCTCGCCATCTACATCTGATGAGCAAACAGCTGCGGTATCGGCGACAGGAAGCTCTACATTATTACAATCTGCGGTGTCGGCGGCAGAATGCCCTGCTGCGCCATTAGAATCTGCGGCAGGAAGCTCTGCACCCTTACAATCTGCGGTGTCTGTGATCGGTTGCTCTGCTGCGCCATTACAATCTGCGGTGTCTGTGATCGGTTGCTCTGCTGCGCCATTGCAATCTGCGGTGTCTGTGATCGGTTGCTCTGCTGCGCCATTACAATCTGCGGTGTCTGTGATCGGTTGCTCTGCTGCGCCATTACAATCTGCTCTATCCTCAACTGCTGGTGCAGCCACCAGTGGTTCTTCACTGTATTCAGACTGTGCACCATCGTTTTCGTTGACAGCAACACCACACGGAGGAGGAGTAGTAGTCCCCTCTGAACCACAGCCAGGTTTGTGTGCAGCTACGCTTTCAAACACGGCCTCAGGGCACGGCGACTCTTCGCAGTTGACATCCTCCAGGCATGAGCCTTGCACGGCCGATGATACCTGCAGCGGAGCTTCGTCGTCGACTGGCGAGCTACCATTGCATGGAGGTGTCTTGCCGCTGTCGGTGACTGTCAGTGCGGAATAGCCATCGTCGGACGGGGAAACACAGCAGCCGCTGTCCCGGCCGTCCGGAGTGGCGTTGGCGCTGGACATGACGACGGTAGCTTTGGTTTTGCCCAGCAGCACGGGTGGTGGAGAGACCGACGTCGACGCGACTTGACCGGGTGCGGCGGAAACCGAGCCTGTGCGGGTCGGGGTTGCCACGGATGCCGACTGCGATCTGGTCTTTGTCGCCTTGGCGTAGGATGCCGTTACGGCATCGGCTGGAGCGGTCTTTGGTGACATGCTACTGGAGCCGCCGGCCTTTCTGGACTTGGAAATGGACGCACGAGGTGAGGCGCTCGGGCTGGAGGAGAGCGACTTGCGGCCGCCGTCTGAGTTGATGGCGGCCTTGGCGTAGGACACATTGGGATCAACACGGGGTACTGGTGACGAGGGTGACTGCGCGCCAGCTCTCTGTCGCCGCTCTGCATCGGCTGAAGACTCGGTGATAGCCAGGTCCTTGGGCGTTCCGACTGCCCCCGTACTCTTGACCAGTGCGGCAGTCGGAACAAGGGGCTTGGCCAACGGTACTTGCGGCTTGGCAAGGGCATCGCCGGGGGAGAGGTTCATGGCCTTGTTCAGCCGCAGGCAGCAGCCGTCGCGCAGCATCACCTGCAGAATGCGCGACATGTTCTCGGCGTCGTCTCGTCCGCTGTGCATTCGGCCGTGGTGGGGCAGTCCCAGTACGTGTAGCATGCCACGCAGCTTGCCTAGCTTCCTGTGCACACACACACACACACACAGAAACATAGGCACGGTCAGACACCGAAGGTACAGCCCCAATGCGGGCTGGCTCTCACCCTCTGCAATTCTCAGATACCCAACAACTAGCAGTGAAACACTTATGCCCAATGCTCGCTGGGTTGCTTGAAAAATGTTCGTACTCGGAATAGGAATAAATCAGACTACTTTTTCATACGGCGGTTTCCATGCATTTACTGGAGAAATCAGCTTTCTCAAGCAGCAGTAGTACCAATCAATGACGCAAAATACACCGTGGGTGAGTCGATTACTGGCCAAGAACGGAGTTGTACGCTCACGGTCATGTACTCTTGGGAAGAACATCAAAAAGTTGTATCGGGTATGATCTCGGGGAGGAGGGGAGGAGGGAGGAGTATAAGCCCATTGCGCATTGCCAAATATGAAAGGTACATGTATGAGCAATGCACATGAGTACGCTGGGATCAGCAGTGTATTGTTCAACACCCCCAGACGACCATACCCAGTTGACTGTGTGGGCTGTTCGTGGTACAAATGACGTCATTGTGCAAAGGGCTTATTCGAGAGGGATTCTAGCAAGTGGTTTGCATTGCTTTCGACTACCCTGACACCACTGGGCCCCGGCATGTGTACAGCAGAGAATCAAGAATAGAGTGAACGCATGCATGCGTGCCACTGAACGCCCAGAGCTAGACCATGCACAAATCTCTTTTCACTCACTGTCCCTGCGCGGCCACTATATCAAACTTGGACATGTTGAGGCGATAGAAGTTGGCCACTCCGTTGCGCAGGTTCACCCACTTCTGCCAGAAGATGGGCAGCTCAAGAGCGGAACGCTCACACGCCGGCGCAAGGAAGTTACGAATGTCGGCATCCCTAGGGCAGAAAATACCGTAACGTTAACAGACACATGCACACACACACAGAGCCATAGATGAATAAATACTTTAGCTAGAATTCAAGTTTTATCAGAGATGAGAAAGCATTGGTAATCTACCAAAACTGCAAGATCTACATTCTTGGACTCCTGCTCTGCATTTTCTTCCCAACGGGTGAATTTGACTCTACTCCATAAAGTAGTCACACACATACACCATGTACCATGTATATGCCCGTCGCAAGAGAAGCACGCAAATCTGCAAATGCACTGGATGTGAAGCCACAGATTTTCTCTTTATAGCAACGATAGCGGATCCGATTCTGATTGAAACAGATCAAGACAAGCGCCAGATAACTGTCTAATCCACACAATTGGCGAAGCCATGTGAATCGACCCCCAATGCACACCTGGTCTACACCACACGGAGTACATCGGAATAGGACATCCAAGACAGTTACCTATGCACACCCTACACTTGCTGAGGTAACCAGTATAGACAGCATGCTGCTTTGATAGAAGCAGCCACTAGATGCACTGGTACCTTGAAGTGAAATTGGAGTTATTTTACCAACCAGCCTCGGCAACTGGGTCCTGGGAACCCAGGGCCACCAGACGTACCAACAACCTCAGCCATAAAAGCTATAATAGTAACGACACACTGGACTGTGGAGCCGAAACTAGTCCAACTTCCAAAATGCTTTGGCAAGAGGGTAGCCTTCCCACACACACACACACTGTACACAGTCAGACAGACACAAACCCAGACCAACACCGTTCTGAACATACCCATCGGTGACAAACGCAAAGGTTTTGCCGTTCAGCTTCTCTCCGACCCACACAATCAGCCGGCGGAGAACCGCATCAAACGTGTCTGCCTTGTCAACATTAACCTGTCAGAGGAATATGGAGAGGAAATGAGAGAGAAAGGGTACCGTTAGACTGTAAGTCACAAAAGAGTACCGCAATGTCGCGTATAAAAGCAGGTGCTTACGGCCGTATATGCCGGGGTTCAAACCATGCTGCTACGTCAACATCATCAGTCTACATAGTGCAGTGCATACTGCCACGCATGTACTTGCACATGTACTTTGCAGAGAGCGGCTTCTATTCAAATCACGCTTCTGTGTCAGGGCACACTTCGAAAAATCAGCTTCTATTCGAGTCATGCTTCTATACAGGTTGTGCTTGTATACGCGACACTACAGTACGTGCAGTGTCCATGAGACCTGCTTAAATCCGGTGTGCACGCACTCCGTCACACGTTATGAAATCCAGGAATTTCGCCATGACAGCAACCCATTCGAGCTGCACACTCCCAGTCTAGTGCACTCTCCTCCACACTGATATTCATCATCATCACTGAATGAAATCCTTCTAAATATTGGCAGCTGCACTAAATGCAGGACAGATTCATTGCATGAAAATGCTGGCACTGAGGGTCCAGATATCCTCATCCACCCTAAACCAGCAGCCTCTAAACTACAACCTTACATCAAAATGCCATACCGAAAAAAGGCAATCGGGTCAGGTTGGTCAACGGCAATCAAAAACAACAGAACTGATCAATGAAATCCAGTAGTCGCATCACTCAAGTAATGCGCCGGGCGCTGCACAGCCATAGACCTGCAAACACTGGGCTGTGAAATAGTGCAAGGCGCAAACTTGAGTGACACGACGACTGGATTTCATTGAGCAACGCTGTAGACGCCAGGAACAAGTGCCTTTAGCTCTATATTCAGAGTGCTGGAGAGTGTGGACTCCGCTGTGGAACACTCTAGATAAACTAGAACGCCCCACCGCACGCACAAGAGGCGAACCTCACCCAACTGACCTGTGTGATGCCAGTCAACTCGGTGCAAAACTCGGATAACTTGGGCTCAAGCGTCGGCCTGCAGTAGCTGTGAAACCTGCCCTCCTGAACACGAGAATGCACACACACACACACAACCAATGCAAAAACATCAGCAAGAGTATTTATTACACATAGATTTAAGTACACACGCACATCCCAAAAGTAAACAGACAATCAGTGGCAGCTAGGAATTGGCTTGGAGCACGGTCAATGCCACATATTGTGAGACCACTATTAAAAGTGCAAATATTATTGTTTAGGGGTCGTCCGTAATTTTCGAAAAATTAAAAAATCCGTCCTCGTGCAAAATTGTCTCTGACCCACCCACCCACCCCCCAATTTTTTCCCATTAATATTTTGATTTTTACCGATGCCCAGCTCGAAAATAAGAACTCCTGACCCCACGTTTTCTGACTACACCTGTGTCAAGTACTAGCAGCTAAGTACAGTGAGTAGTAGGTCTACCGACGTCACGGCCATGCACCGTCCTACAACTACATGAAAAGTTATGTATATCATAGTAGATACTGGTGTTTGCGACAATCGATCCTACACTACGTCTACAGTACAGTACACAGTCAGCTATATACTGAATCAGTGCAACAAGTGTATCAAAGTCACTGGAGCGAAAAAAAAGAAAGAAAAAAAAGTACGAAAAATCAAAAAATTAAATTCCGCCAGCACACTTGACCACCCACCCCCTTTTTGCCTGAGGACGGATTTTTTAATTTTTCGAAAAATACGGACGACTCCTTAACTATAATAAAAATATTTGTCACATTTCGACCTTTTACATCGCGTGAGATCTTGTACTTACCACTTTCCTTGTTAAGCTATTGACGATAACAACGGCTAGTTCGATAGGCTCGGGCACAAAGCCATCAGGCTGCTCCTTGTGACAAGTTGCCTCAACGTCCATTACGCAGAAATAGTCGAGGAAGGTTTCTGAAACTCGCTCCTAAAGCAGCAACAGAATCAACCGGGCAGAGAAGTTAGTCAAATCTGTCGAGGCGACCACTCGGATAAGGCGACCACCTGTCCCAGGAGACCACTGCCGCCAGAATCAAGCGATGCTATTTCCAGTCTAAAGATCCTGGATAAGGAGACCACCTGGTAACAGAGACCACGTTTTGAAGGTCCCTTGAGCGGTCGCCATAGTTTAACTAGCACACACAGAGAAGCATCATGCAAACGGTTTGCTTGATGTGAACTATTGTCAAGTGTCTTCAACAGTTCATTTCATTCCTAAGAACAGGTCCTTACCCAGGAGCTCATGGACTGTGAGAATTCAAAATCAATAGTACCCAAGAGGAACATTCCTTTCAAACTGGGACAAGCCCCATAGGTGACCCCTGAAAGCAGATTTTACCAGCAGCCCCCCCCCCCCCCCCCCACACACACACCCACAAGCAAAAATACATACCAGTGTTCCCATGGCGATCGCGTTCTTGCGGTAATGATTCTTGATGCGCTTCCGCAGCACCTCCTTGATTCCCCTGGGCAAGAAGAGGCACAACAGATACTCCAGTTTCACCACCACAGTTGCGTCTGCAGGCGCTGCTCTATCATGCAGTATTCTGTTCTCAAGGTTCGTGGTTCTCGTGAAAAATACAGTCCTGTGTCAGGACCGGCGGAAGCAGTTTTGATTGGTCCAGCCAAGCCGTAGCCTTTCATACAGTTTGTGTATGATATTATACATGTAGTGGGTACATAATTATGACCAACTCAGCAGTAGACACGCGTTGGTGGCCAAATGGTTGGTCCGGCCATGCCATAGCCTTTCATACTTCGTGTATGATAATTATAGTAGAGAGGTTCCGGGGTACGATTTTCCGTGCCAAAATCCGTATGGGCGCTACGGATTTTTTCCAGGCGCGCTCCATACGATTTTTCGGCACGGAGAATCCGTGTGGACTGGCTTTCATTCGAACCATGTTTCGTATGGAGATTTTGCGTCATCGGGTGCAGAAAGATTTTTCGCGTACAAATTTGGTACGAGAAACATAGATTTTCCGCGGGAAGTTTTGATTTCGGTACAAATTTTCAAAATAAAAAGGCATGGCGCGGGAATGTGACGTGTTTGCGACCGTAACCTAGGCAATGACGGCAAACACGTACATGTAAGTTTCGTACTCCGGAACATTTCACTGCTCGAAAACGACGTATAAAAAATCCGTAGCGCCTCTACGGATTTTGGCACGAAAAATCGTACTCCGGAACCTCCCTACTGTGCCCACATGACCTCCTCAGCAGTGAACACACGTTGGTGGCCAAAAAAGTTGGTCCGGCCATGGCCCGACCGACCGGACCGGTTCTGCCGGGCCTGCTGTATAATAGTCAGTGATACGTTGGGTGCCGTTGAACTACTACTACTAGTACTAGTAACCATGTTGTTGTGCATGAAACCGTTTAGCCCGAGCCAAAGGAAAAATTCAAATCCAGACGGTTTGAGCGTCGTCATCTCACAACATCATGAAGACAGCGTGCCGGGCACAGAACCCACCGCTCATGAGAGTCGCATACCCTTGGACTTGGAATTACCCGGATATACTCTTGGTACCAGTCATAGGAGCATAGGACATTTTCATTGTCACACCAGAGCTCACAGTAGAGTTCGCAATACGTTCACACACAATACAATGTGCCAGGTACAAAGAGCTCTTACACACACGTCACATCCACACCATAACTCACCTCTCATCCAGTTGCAGATTTGATAGCAGGGCTCTCAGCTGCTCCATAAACAAATTGTTGACGTCGGCATTTATCTGCGACAAACTCTTCGTATCTACGTCCAGCTCCGGCACTTTGGCAGCCTTCTTGCTTTTTGTTGCCTGCTGGGGTTTCGTGGCCTTTTTCGAAGCACCTGCCACGGGGGACTTTGCTGCCTCGCTCTTCGCCGAGCCTCCCTTGCGTTTCTTTTCAGCGGCGTCACTCTCCTGAATTTCCTTTGCGTCGCACACCATTCTGGTGGCCTTGCCGTTGTTCACAGGTACAGCCTTCACCTGGGCTGTACTGTGGTGCTTGCATACCGGAGTTGGCGACGATACGGAAGCAGAGCGGCATTTCGAGTCTCCGCACTTGGGCCGCGAATGCGGAGAGCGGCCTTCCTTCTTGCCGTCAGACTTTGGTGTGCCACGCCTGACGGCTTCTTTCTTGCCGTCCGACTTGGGAGTCGAAGTAGTCGACCTCCTCGGTCCGCTCGGCGGCCTTTGTGGTGTACGGAAGGCTTGCTGCTGGGTGGGAGAACTTCCGACAGCTGTGGAAATGCCGTTGGTCACCGTGGCCAAGGGAGAGCTGACTTTCTCCACTACAGGACTTCTACTGGCCTTCTCAGCATTATCGGACGACATTATGACTGTAAAAAGCCTGCCCAACCCAGCTCAAGCAAAGCAAGCTTTCTCAACCTCTCTCTCTCTCAGCGAGGGAACAAGACAATCGAAAGAAATCAAGGTTTGCAGTACAGCCAGGCTAGGCATGCAAGGTTTGAGTTTGAGTTTGAGAAGAAAGTAAGTTTGTACTTCGCGCGGCACGCGGCACGTGGAAAAGTCAATGTGACCATGACAACCAGGAAGTTGTCGAATGTCGACTCCCTGATCGATCACGTAGTCGCTTCGTCTATCGCGAGTATCGGTCGGGATTCGTTATTACGACTCCCTTGGCCTTGCCGCTTGGCGACAACAGACTATGTACAGTGCACTAGTGACATACACCAAGAGTACATGAAACTCTTGCATACACGTATCGTCTTGTTTAGTTCTTGTTGTGAGCGTCGGGACTCGGGAGTATGATCGGTACCAAGGAGTCGTATAAACCTGTAAACCCACGACTCCCTGATCGGTGCATTTTCACGGCCGCGGACAAGCCTTCATATTGTTCCATTCATAAAAAGATGGGCTCTGGCTCTGGCGAGCTCCCGTATTTGGCGGTTTTTCGTGATTTTCATCGTACACAGTGCAGTGCTGCGAACTTTGAAATTTGAAAAAGGATCCAAAAAGGGTGCCTGAACTGGGGTTCGAACCGCAGAATGCACTGTTGTCAGGCGGGGTCAAACGGCCTGGATTTTGATGGTTTTCCCAATTCTGTGCTTTTGGGGCAAAACCTGGCCGAAATCCTATTCTTGCTATGGCTTGCTTTTTGGACAAACAAACTTCAGAAACATAATTGGAAGAGGATTCCATAGGGGATTGCCAAAACAAATTCTTAAAAAACTCAAAGTTTGACCCATTTACAGTCAACTTCGCGAATAACGACATTCGGCGGGGCATCAGAAAAGTGTCCTTATTCGCGAAGTGTCCTTATAACCGAAGTCCCATTTGAATGTATGTGAACCCATATTTTGTATGGTATGACATGCATATCAAAATCAAGCTCTTTTCTTGCTCTATGTCAATGTGTACTTTATTTTCATATCGCAGTTGAAAGGAACTAAAAATTCAATATGCAAGGGAAATCAATTGAAAAATATGCCTTTTTGAGCCATCTACAGGGCCAGAGACATGTACATGTACACGTGTACATGTATGCATGATTACTGTTGTACTATCGGCAGAAAGACTTTTCATGGCTCATTTTTGTTGTGGTCCTTTGGTTAATTTTGGTTTGTTTTGCGTTCTACTTTTGACCCTGTTGTCTGGGTTTTGGTTGCATGTACATACATGTATATGTATAGTTTGTACATGAACCAAGTAACAGTTACGTCATTGTCCTGAGTTATGTTTTGTTTGCGCATGCTCATATGCTGCCATAATGTTAGTCTTTTTCTTCAGTTATCAGTTTACCTCGTCGTGTCCGGTCTTCTTGTCTGTCCGTCTCCGTCTTGTCAAGAAATTATGTAGAACTCTTAGTTCAGTTTCGTTGTTGTGTGTGGCGGGTCGGATGGGCCCCTGACGCCTGGACAACATGTGCGGGTGCACAAAAATTACTGTACAATCATGTACAACTACATGCATGTACATGTAGGTGTGTGTGTAAATCCAACACTTTTGAAGCAAAATAAAAAGGAAGAAAAAGCCCCCCCCCCCCTCCCTTGGCTGCATTTTCTTTTCTTTATCCATCACCATAGCTATGTTCTGGTACTTCTGCATGACAGGTACATGTACTTGACTGACAGGTACTTGAAATAGCTGTCAAAAGCCCAGAAAGTCGTTATTCAAGCAGTGAATATGACCTGGGGGCACTAAAAGCATGTCGCTATTCGCGAATTGTCGTTATTCAGATAGTCGTTATATCCGAAGTTAAATGCATGTAGTTAGATGGGACTTTGCTCCGGGCATGGAAATTCGGTCGTTATTCGCGAATTGTCGTTATATCCGCAGTCGTTATTAGCGAAGTTGACTGTATGGCCAAAAGCTAGAAGTTCATTTTTTTCTGAATGGACTTTGTTTGTAGTACATACACAAATAGGAGATCCCCCAGATAGGCGTTAGCCTTTGGGTAATCCTGAAATAAAGATTATTATCAACATGCACACGAGCTGGTCGGGGGTCGGTACAGTTGACCTGGGTGGGAAGTTCTAGGCATTGGCGAATAATGCTCGAAATGGTGGCAGATTCTGCTCGAAAAGCAGTGAAATTGGCAGAACCTTACAAACCTTATGGCGGGCAATTCCTCGAATTCTGCTCCGTTTCTTTATCTACATACCAAATATGCATGAAACTTACCAGAAAAAGTACCGAATTCTGCCAATTTTTCTGCCGGCATTATCCGCAAAGGACTTGTAGTGGGAACTCCAGGAGCTCCACACTGCGGTGACACGGGAGAGGACGAGTAGGGTTGTTTCCTGTCTAGTAGTATTAGTACAGGTAGTACATTGGCACGGTAATGGCACAGCCATCACCAGAACACTGACAGTCTGTGATAGCCCATGGCGGATAGCGCCCGAATAAATGGCGGGTTCCGCCAGGCTGTTTGAAGGCGGCATGAAAATGGTAGAACCATACAAAGTTGTCGGCGGTTGGCGGGCAATTCCTATAGAACCATGCATTGATGGGCCGGCTAGTGCGACCTTCTCAGTGTGGCTTGCCTCCCGAATGCACGATGTTGCTGTTAAATCCATGCTCCTGTCACTCTAGGGTGAGGAGTAGCTTGGAGTTTCATCTACATTTTGGCCTCAGCGGAATCTCCAGGGTGACAACGCTCGCCTCGACATCGATATCGTTGCCAGTGGAATATAGGACCAGAGCGAACGATGGCAAAGGCATTTTCGAGTATCAGCTTTTTCAATCCGGGCGGTGAATCCCGATCAAGGCAATCGGTCATTCTTCATCCTCTCTTCCATGCATCACAACGCCATGGCAGGAGCAGGACAAGCACAGGAAATATGAAGCAGAGGCTAACGTTCAGTACATCGATCGGCTTCGCTCCTGTGCACAGCTGTGGTCTTTTCTGCAACAGATGGTCGGCGGAAACTTTGCCGCTGCAGGTCAATAGACGTATCGCCAACATCACATCAGCCTACCGAAACGCAGCCACGAGCTAAGTTACCAGTATTCCCTGCCGTTACTGTCCACACCTGCGTTGCCGTCTCCAGTCTCATTTGCGCTGAGAAGGTTAGCGGTTGCCTGCAGCTTGAGATGCCACAGGAGGAGGTCTGCAAAATACTATCTACACCATGGCTGGTTCGTCACCGTTGGTGGTTTGTTGAATGCTACACATTCCACAAGAACTATTTATTTTGTATCTTTTCAAGGAACCCTAAAGAGAGTGCTCGTCAGATGATTTCCGCATTCCACTGTATAGATTTTGCTCATCAACCTGTTTCCAGAAATCAGCAGACAGCATAATGCGCTGATAATATTCTGTGGAAAGACAATGATGCTATCTCTACGTGAACCCCTGCATTATGTAGCGGGGAAGGGATCATTCTACGTGAGGATCAACAGAACTGTACCGAGTCTGTTCGGAGTGACCTAGCCCTTTCCCAAAGATGCTCGCCACGTTTTTTGCAATTTTGTTGTTGTTTTGGAAGAAATCGAAACGTTCGCAACTTTCTTCATTTTGCAAACTGCTTCGTAACTTTTCGGCAACTGTTTGCCTTGGAGGAGACCATTGAAGTGTCCGTGATGCTCCTCTTCAACAAAAAGTGCTGAACATTGCATCAAATCTTCATGATGGGTGTACCCGTGTACTTCTCATGTCACAGCACAGAACATGCCGCTATGTCATGAATGCTGTGCAACGGTTCAACAAAAAAGGACAATGACTCACAGCAGACTCATTCCAAGTCTGTTCATTGTCCTAAACATGTTTCACGCTGTGAACATATGCATTCATACACGTACCAAGTATCAAAGTACGATTGACTTGACTCAGGTAGTTGTGCTGCGCCAGTGTTTTCCATTTCTGCTCCTTTATTGGTTGTTTTTGGCATCATTATGAACAGGACTTGGCTCATTTTGAGTTGTGATAATTATTAGCAACCTTTGAGCTTTTTCTGAAAATATGGATGCGATTTCAGCAAAAGTTTCACTTGTTTTGGCATGCTTGCGAAAAGCAAAAGTTGCGAAATAGTTTGGCATCTTTGGGAAAGGGCTAGTTCGGACCCAAGACTAAGTCACTCAGTGTCCACTGCGTCCATGTCTGATGTCCGCGTCCAGTGATGTCGTTCTGGGTGACCGGAATCATCTGACGACCTTGACGCAAGGCCAAGGCGTCAACACTGTTGTCAGTAGCCGATGCTTGTAGATCTACACAATCTACTGGAGTACATCTCTACTGCACTGCGCTACCTTCTACGTAGATCTACGTCTATCTAGCTCGTGAGTTTTGTCCGATCCCTCAGTCCCTAGTATGTGCACCGAATCGGGACCACCCACGGCCACACGCTCCAGAGATCCTTGCATTGGAACTAATGTTACTCTGGAACTGTGCTGTAGATCTACACTGTCAATCGAGACATTCTTTGAATGGTGATGTCGCTGAAATCATCAGAGTTCATTTACCCCTAGCGCCCGGGTGGCTATGGTCGAAATTCATTAGCGCAACTCCTTCCCCAAGCCTATTCCTTACTGCGGGTAACTTTGAGGGATGGCGTTAGCAAAAATGGAACAAGAAGAGAATTCTTGAGATCTAGATTAGCCAGCCGTGTTTCGGCCAGCGATGAACAAAAATGGCTCTCCCTGGAGTGAACTGCAGGCGAGGTAGAAAGGCCGATGGATATGACGTTTGCTGGATGCTGGAACGGCTTGTGTGTGGCCTGGCACTCACCGCGATGCTCTTCGCTTGGCAGCCTGCTTCGTGGCAAGCGGAAGGTAAGGAGGATCGGAAAGACTGTGTACAGGCTCAAAACCCGACATTGCTCTGTGGTCACAAATCTCGGTTGGCCCGAAGGATTGTGCCTCCAAATCATGTTTTCATTCATTCGCTCATGTTCAGAGGCATACATGTACATGACAATTGTACAGTTTGATGCACTGATGCCAGGCACAGGATACTGGGAATTGGGTTATTAGAGGTATAACTACATGATTATAAGAGTGATTGTTGGGCTAGTTTGCACCCTTATTTTTATTCCAAGCAATACATGGCCGGGGTAGCCAATGAGCACATTGCATGGCGATTGCAGGGTTTTATAGCCAACCTCGGCTAACCTTGCAAAAATGCAAACCCATCGTGGGAGGATACTGTGCGTCTACAAATGTTCGCCGGCCCATTCAAATTTCGGCCTCCCAGGGCTAAAACCCATTTCGGTCGCATCAAAGTTCCGGCCTGTAGACTGTACTGCTGCCGCCTCTATACACTGTCACACTGAACCTCGCGAAACGAAATTCCGGCCGCAACAAATTTTCAGCCAAAAATGACCAGGCCGAAAATAGCCGAAAATACATAATATTATGCAGCTGTACAGTGCCACAGGGCATTATTGAAAAAAGAAGAGAATGATGCGATCTATCGACTACCCCCCCCCCCCCCCCCGTCCCGATGGCATCGTGTGAGTTTTTCAATGTTGTTTGCAGTCTTGTCTACCACAAAACGTTGAAGATAAAAAGGTTGAATGGCCCCTCTCCAGATTAATTCCTCTCTCAATGAAATTCTCCTGTAAACCATTGGGCTATGAGAATATTGGGGGGGGGGGGGGGGGGGGAGGGCAGGAGGAGGAAGGAGGTTGATGAGAATAAGGTATGTGATAAGGACTGGGTATATCCTGGCCAACCTAACAAACTGGTACATGTAAAAGATAATCATATTGATTGCAAGTTCCCGACGCCAGAGCCCACACTTCCTGCTGATGTGCATGGCTGGCACTTGACAGACTCGCAGCTGCTAACTGGAGCGAACCAGAGCATGGCACATCTTGCACTCATCAAGCCTACCGGCAAGCATGCACCATGCGCTCATTGCTCCAGGCATTGTGCTTCATGGAGCTCACCTCTCATCAATTGAGCTTGATTAGACTAATCAGTAAAATGGATTTTCTGCTCCATGAATCACAAGTCAGTCGTTCAAGTGTCAGCCAAGCCAGCAGTGACCAGTGGGCAGGAGCAGACAACTCATAAACAACCGCTAGCATTACATTTAGTGTGATTGAGCTGGATTTCATCAAATTTTTATAACCAGAATTTACCGGCAAACCGCCTTAGGACGAACACCAAGGGACCGGTGGTAGGTGTTTGCAATAACCGGAGTTCTTCTTATTCATGTCATCTTTTACCCAGCGAATACAACGTGATTTATCAGAATAATAATAGAGTTACAAACACTAGTTCGAAAATTTGCGAAAGAGAACATTATAATTAGTTTTGTCTTATCGGTGTCAGTCTTCTTTTAACGAGGTTTCACAGTAGTACAGTGAGTAGTGCCAAAACTTACCAGTTGCATGCGGTACCTCAAGGTACAACTCAGGGGCGTCGGAAGGTAATTTAGTGTGGTACGGTCAGCGATCTGAAGTACAATTTACTCGTGGGAGAGTGGTGGCTGAGCTGAACATTTTGCAAATTCAGAGCCCAATTCAATGCATTTTATTGCTTCACGGGGTACCTGGAGCAAAGAGCGGTACGGTCAACACCGTAGTGACGCCCCTGTGTAGCATGTATTCATAGCATTACAGGGCATTCAAACACACTATGTATAGCAGCACTTTACTATGTTACTCCCTCATCATGGCATGTTGGGGGCATCCTCAGGTCATAAGGAAAAAAGGCGAGTACAGACACTATGTATAGTTTATGCAAGTTCTCTTGCATGCTAACATCTCAGCGTGCACAATCCAGCTGTGACCACAGTATAATAATGCTTGCTGAAACCAGAACATCATCGGAGTTGTTGTTGTTTTTTTATTTGAATCCGCAACACCAAACGGGCAATAAGCCAAATTACATGGAAGCGAATAAAAGAATGCTAAGAATAAGGCATTTCGGTGAATATTATTTCAAGTGGAAATACTGATCCCGGGAGGCACTACAAATAGGTACTGTACAATGAAAGTCACAAACGCTACACTAACCTGTTCGATCACTGTCAGTATGATGAGCTAGAGATCACGAGCCAGCATTTCATTGAGCCGCAGCTGTAGATAGTAGATACAGCGCCATCCCCCATTGTACCATCTACACCGCTTGGTAGTACATGTCTAATAAAGCCTCTTGTACGGGCAACATGAATTGTACATACATGTATCAGTAAACTACTTCGAAGTATAAACATCAATTTAACTGGGCCCTGCTTGGTAGTTCTAATGCCAATTTCTGAGTAGTAGTTAAACACTGGCCCATGCGCGTGACAACTCCATGCCATTTTCTAGGGCCAGAACAAAGGTTTGTAATACATGCTCACCTCTTAAACTGCCGATTTAGCACCACCACTATGCAGTAGAGCAGGTAATAAGTGAATTCATCTTGCGCTATACAAGTACACGCTTTTCCCGACTTCACTTGGTTGGGGAGTGTAATTTTTTTCCAGTGTGGAGGAGTTGATCGTCTGACCCTAGTGATAGCAAACCTGATACCTAGACCCCAGCCTGTATGGATTACCCCTAGTAACCAGGGAGTAGTGCAATACGGTATTGTACTACTCCCTGGTTACTAGGGGTGAAAGTTGGTAATGAGATCCCGAGTTCGAGTACTCTGATTTTCTCCGATTGAATATTCGAGTATTCGAGTATTCTTCATCTCCTAAAAAGTGCACACCAAGGGCCTTAAAATCACATGATACGACCCTGATTGAACCGAGTAGCAGTCATTTTTTCTCGGGTATATTGGTTGGTGGGTCATTTTGGCTCTCTCTGCTCGTGGTCAAATGTTCACCACACAGTCTGCACATCAATATCTGCCGACTGCTACCCTGAAACTGTAGATTTCTATGGTAAATTCATGTACCATGTATGAACGAGTACTCTGATTTATTCCGAGTACGATTATTTTTGAAAAAACCGAGCGAGTACTCGAGTACGATTATTTTTGAAAAAACCGAGCGAGTACTCGAGTACTCGGTATAATTGTTTCACCCCTACCAGTGGTTACTATAGCATTCAAGTCCGGACACAGCTCCTCGTGCAGCACTCTACCAGTAGCCATGCTGCAACATTAATGCCGCATTTAATACACTCAGTATAAAACAGCAGAATAATGATGGTGTAAATTTACACCCGGCCGCAGCATTTATCACGGTGGGTTCAAAGGTACAGTGGCCTGTAGTAATGCAGGATAGATTTTACGAGTTTTCAACTTTCCTATTGAATCCCAAACCCAGGCTCATATTCTGGTACTACAGTCAGACCTCGCTTAGCCGCACACATCCGCTTTCCACAAAAGTGTCCGGATAGGCGACGGAGCCGGATAATTGAACACACAAACTGTATGTATGCATGCCATATGCTGTAAATCGGTAACCAGCGTTCTTCTTCCGCATGGTGAGGTATCCGGATAAAAGAGGACCAGATAAGCGAGGTCTGGCTGTATTATTATGATCATTCTTTATACCCAATGTGTAAATTTACATCAGCTAGGAATGGTTCCAGGTACATGTCAAGTTTTCATCATTTTAGGGATATAGCCAGTTGTAGCCAGCCAAACATCTTTTGCATACTGTGGCATCCGCTTGCAGATTGCCAATGAGAGTGTCCGGCGTGCTTCTGTTTTCTATGTGTATTTTTTGTATAATTTTGTATTTATGGATTCTCCACAGGCCCTGGCGTAAATCTGTGGAGCCTCCGTCTGTTATCGCGGCACTGTGTTATGTGTTATGTGTGTCTCCTCTACAGCTCAGCTTTGCCAGAGTGACAGTGAGCAGAAAGTAGCCAATAGGTGGACTAGTGGTTGCTCCCGACCAGACATGCTTGTTCGCGGTATCCACGACGACGATGACAACTTCACTGATATTGACACGGTGAAATGCTGCCAGGCACCGGTGTACACTGTGCCGGTTACTCAGACTGTGACGCTGCAGCCTGGTGGTTCCTGGTTGCCGGCGGATGCGTGGACGTCACAGTGTCCCCAAGACTATGCCGTATCAGGTTAGTATGTGGAGCTGTGTGTGCGTGTGTGAGTGGGAAGGGGGGGGGGGGGTACATGTGGGTGCGTGCATGGGTGTGTGTGTGTGGGGGGGGGGGGGGGGGTGGGGTGCACATGTGCATACGTTTGGAATCTGGGTCATGTAGTTGAGTGGTATGTCCAATACTTTCATGCACAGCACTTGGATGGAGCAGATCATCTGATCATGCTGTCCAATAGCTAGTGCAGGGGCGTCGGAAGGTATTTTAGTGTGGTACGGTCAGCCATCTGAAGTACAATTTACTCGTGGGGGAGTGGCGGCCGAGCCGAAAAGTTTGGAAATTTAGATCCCAGATCAGTGTATTTTATTGCTTCACGGGGTACCTGGGGCAAAAAGTGGTACGGTCAATACCGTAGTGACCGTACCGTGTCCGACGCCCCTGTACTAGGTGCCTGGCATCATGCATGACTCACTGTCTGTATGTTGGTGTGCACTGTGGCAGCTTTCATCAACTCCCACTGTCAGACCTGCTCGTTCCTGGACATCGTGTGCACCAAGGTAGCCAGCGGAGGCAGTGACAGGAGGGCAATCAACACCAGTGCATGCCAGACAGTGCGCACGGTACACGGTGGTACGAGAACAGGCAGCCTGGTCTGGAACACGGAGTGTCCGGTGGCCAGTGTGGTTACTGCCGTCTGGACGGATCGCATACACTGGAAGTATAACCGACCTCTTCGCTACATCAAGTGCTGCCCGTTAGGTGAGCTACTTCTATTGTATGTGGCTGTTTCAAAGGATTGGGTTCGGGAGAGGTTAATCCTACATAATTATGTGCATGTGCTCAATCTCCAGATGGTTACTGTAGCGGGTATAGAAATGCGGGGTTGTGCATCTACTCTGCGCACCAGAGAGTAGAAAAATACCATAGTATTCCCCGGTGGATACTCTTCATGTCCTAATCTGATGTCAGAGAAAAGCTCGAGGAGTACATTCTGGAAACTCCATTTCCATCCTTCTCTGCCCTGTTGTTGTTTGTCGTACAGATGATCCATGCCTTGCATATGGTCTCAACTGCAGTCGTGGATTCGGTATCTGCCAGACCATACACACACCTGTTGCCTCGTCAGTGCCTGGTCAGACTCCACCACCACAGCAATACCACTGCACATGTCCTGCAGGGATTACAGGACAAGAATGCACGCGGGACATTGACGAATGCGCCGCCACTAGCAACAGCAGCGGTGGCGGGAGCGTTTCCACGACAACCGGCGTGTGCGGCGCTGGTCCGGGTGTGAGGTGTCGGAACGCAATTGGCTCCTACTGGTGCGCCTGCGCGGATGGTTTCCGCCCCAATATCACCATGGCAACCGCGTTGTCGTGCGTGGATATTGACGAATGCTCTATGGGCACGCACGGCTGCATTGCCACGTCGGGACCGTGTCAAAATACGGCGGGGAGTTACGCGTGCCGCTGTCGTCGGGGCTACACACGCGATTCCAGCGGCCAATGTCGCGATGCGGATGAATGCGCTGAGATTGGAACACTGTGCATGCCCGGCGGAGTGTGCTCTAATGTCGCCGGTAGCTTCCACTGCACGTGCCGAAGTGGATTCGAGCTAGCTGCCGGCGGTACCCTGTGTACAGACCGGGATGAATGCTCACCGCACACTCTAGCGTTGGTTTGCAATGGCGGCACGTGCATCAACACCGTCGGGTCGTTTGATTGCGTGTGTCCGCCCGATTTCGCACTCCGGAACGGTACGTGCACGGCCCGCAGCACCTGCAGGTCGGGGTCGAACGACCCGTGCTGGCCCGGCGGTCGGTGCCTGGTGAATGGAACCGGTCATCGGTGTGTATGCGCAGCTGGTTACCATGACGCTGGAGGGACATGCGTAGAGACTGACCCGTGCGCCGCCGATGCGGATGTGTGCAGCAGCCATGGTGTATGCACATCGGCCTCCTATTATTGTAACTGCCATAGCGGATATAGCTTCACAAACGGTACGTGCGCCGCAAATCAGCAGAAGGTTTCATGCGGTGCCAACGCAACCGTCTATAGTAATCCATCTTTACGCGCGCCATTCTGCCAGTGCGATCCCGGTTTTTCGCTCTCAAACGGGACCTGTGTGCGCATGAATCCATGCGACCGAATCGCGGATGGCACCTTCACAGTCTGTGGTCCAAACGGGCAGTGTTTGGTTACTGCAACTGGGCACATGTGTGTTTGCGAGCAGGGGTATGTCTTCCAGAACGGCACCTGTCGGGACCGTGATGAGTGTGTGACAACGGTAGCGTTCTGTGGTGTTGCGCATACCGCACGGTGCATCAACACACCTGGATCGGCCGTTTGCATATGCCTGCGTGGCTTCCAGTGGAGCGCGCACGATCGCCAGTGCGTCGATTTGAACGAATGCCATGACAACGAGACGGCGACACAGTGTGGCGGTGTGGATGGCAACTGTGTCAACACCGACGGAAGCTACCGGTGCGTCTGTCTGGTCGGTTACCATGGAGATTCTGCGGATGGCAGTTGCCTTGACGACAATGAGTGCAACGATTCACCATGTGGCTCTGATCAGAATTGCGAGAACACCCTGGGTAGCTACCGTTGCTCCTGTCCCAAAGGCTATGTGCTGGTGAACAGTAGCTGTGTGGACCCTGGAAAGTGTACGGTCAGCAGCTGTGGTCCAAACACTTCCTGCACTTCACAGCTCGGCTACGCCGGGGTGCGATGTTCGTGCCAGAACGGACACACATGGCAGAACGGCAGTTGTGTCCTGCAACCTCGGGTGACCTGCGGCAGTTTGGGTGCCAGTGCTGCGTGCGGAAATGGCTCGCTCTGCCTCGAACGGCCAGACAAGCGCATCCAGTGCGTGTGCCAACCAGGATATGACTGGCTCAATGGATCGTGTTTACGGCGCGAAATTCCATTGTTGACATGCTTGCAGGTATCGTGCGGACCCAATGCAACCTGCCAGCAATCCGGTGCGGGGGAGATGCCGTACTGTACGTGTCGCCGTGGATACCACTGGAGTAATGGGTCGGCACAGGCAGGGTCGTCTTGTGTGAGTGTGTGCGATGGCATGAGGTGCCCGGCAAACGCGTCGTGTACTCTTGACGCGCACACTGGTGCCGCTCTGTGCAGATGTGACGTGGGTTACTGGCAGTCCGGTGATGGCACATGCACACACGTGCTGAGCACTATAACTAAGCTGCGACGCACACTGAACACATCGTGTAATACGCTGCTCAACGACTCGTACTCACGCTGCGATAGACGACTCTCGGCGCAGAAGTGCAACCTCACAGCCCTGTGCGAACAGGAACTTTGCGGTCCGTTCGCAGCCTGCAACCTGGACGCGGAGCAGAAGTCAATGCGGTGCCGCTGTCATGACGGATATCACATGATCAATGACACGTGCACAGACGTGAATGAATGTACCGGTGATATGCTGCCGTGTGGGTCCGGTCTTGTCGGCATGTGTGTTAACGTGCCCGGATCATACCGCTGTCTGTGCTATGCCGGGTATAAAGCTATGGACGCAGCGCTGACCGAATGCGTGGATACAGACGAATGCCAGGAGAACGCTACACGCTGCGGACCAGGTGGACACTGCGTCAACGAGCCGGGTAGCTATGGGTGCGAGTGCTCGGCGGGGTTTTCCCGGATACGTGCCGAGATTGGAGAGCGGTGCGAAAACATCAACGAGTGTGAATCTGACGTAGGTTCACTGCTGTGTGGAGACGGTGGTGGTACATGCGTAGACCTGCCTGGGCGGTACGCCTGTAATTGCACTACTGGGTTTGAACTGCATTACGTCATGGACAGTGAGCTGGCACTCACCGCATCTCCTACATCCTCCATTGCTCCGAACATTACCTGCCGTGATATTGACGAGTGTCTGCTGTACAAGGACGTGTGCCGTCCGAATGGAGTATGCCGCAACGTGCCCGGGAGTTTCGTATGCGATTGCCTGCGGGGATACCAGCCCAGTACCGCTGATACTTACACCGCTCACACCAATCTCACTACTGCTGCAAGCAGTGGTAGGGTGTATGATCCGCTGTGCTCGGATGTGAACGAGTGTGAGCAAAATACATCACTGTGCAGGCCACACGGCGAGTGTGTGAACACCCCCGGTGCGTACTCCTGTCGGTGCTCGAAAGGCTACACTGTGCGTGCTCAGGCAATGCTCAACAGTGCGGGTTCCGTTGTCACTTGCACTGATCTAGACGAATGTGTTGGCAGTGGCAGCAGCAACCCATGCGGGCCAGGTGCTTGCGTCAACATGGCGGGGAGTTTTCATTGCCGGTGTCCCCGTGGTTACGCGGCGGCTGCGAACGGCACCGAATGCCGCGACACGGACGAATGTGACAGGGCCCTGCTTGCGGAGCGGCCCTGCACACCCGGAGGTTCATGCATCAATACGGATGGGTCTTACCGCTGTCTCTGCTTGCCCGGGTTTGAGCTCCGTACGGCTACGGTGGCAAGTTCTCCAAAAAGATCCAGCCAGTTCTCGCTTCACACCAACCAATCAAACATTACTCCCCAGCCCACAAACAGCACAGTGCAGCACGATGCACATAACACAACCAGGAAGGTAGCTTATGACTACCTGAACACAAGCAGGTGTTTGGATATTGACGAGTGCTCCGCAGGCCTGCATCACTGCATTGCCACGGCACCCTGTCATAACTATGCCGGCGGATACCTGTGCCTGTGTTCGGACGGCTCCATACAGAGGGTGCTTGATGACGACGGCGGTGTCGATGCTCGTCGTGACCATGGTGATCCAGAGCAAGTTGGTGACCACGGCGACGCGGGTCAGAGTCAATGTGGACGACTGGCAAGCACCGGACCAGGTAAAGTAATTGCCATCCCCTAAATTCAGGACCGGGTTTGAGGGATTGGCAGGGAGCCTTGCATAAAAAGTTGGGGTGAAACGAGTGCTAAAATTGAGGACTAGGGCAATCTTTGAAAAAAAAGAGCGAGTATTCGAGTGGGTACGAGTGTTTTACTGACAACATAAAACGATGTACATGTACTGCACACATTCTTGTAACACCGAACGTACTACACCTGATACACACATGGTCTTGCATGCAGCCTAGTGCAGGAAATAGACTGAACTGCTATCTTTGGCTGGTAAGTAGGGACAGGCAAGAATTTCGCGCTTGCATGGGCTATCAGTACCGGTCAGAGCAACAGAAATGCTTGATGTACATGTATACAATACACTGTACAAAGGATACTTCGAGTATTATTGCTAAACGAGTACTTGCTCGTTTCAAATTTTCGAACAAGCCCTTGAGTATTCGATATAATCGTTTCACCCCTAATAAAAAGAACATGATGGGCACCTTTCTAGGGGCAGCGCATCCCATACATGACAGGCAGTATAATTTTATCTATTCTCTATAAACTGTGAACGGTACCATTGTGTTATTCTTTATCTAATTATTCTACATGTAAAACAAGCCAATGCAAGGAAAAAGCTCGAATTCAAATCAGGTTTGTAACCCCCTCCCCTCCTTGTGATGTTGCAATATCGTTGGTTATGTACATCCCCCTGCAGAGTCCAGCATAAGTAATCAGCAGTCACATGGCACGAGTACAATTGTGCTTGCCTGCATCCTTGCCATCTTCATCATCATAGCTCTGCTGGCAATAGCCGTTCGCTGCCAGAATCGACGGCTTGCAAAACGGTTAGTTCCGACAACTTTATCTATTCTTATTTCTGGTTAGCGTTAAAGTTGTCTCGGCCAGATACTCTGAGCTCCTCTGAGGAGACCTAATATGGTCGAAACAGCTTGCTGTCTGGAGATTGAGTCTATGCTTTTTTCCAGTTTAGCCATTCCGGAAGAGATGGATTTCAAACTAATCTACATTCCTCAAGGGATTGTGTAGGAGTGCATAAGTTAGCCATAGCTACCATGCACATGTCTGCCAGCAAACAAGCATGTTCACGATTTCGTTGACCTGTTTGTAACCATGCGCATGTCGGGACTAACAGTTATGCACCACATGACAGGGGCGTAGCAGCCGGTCCGGCTTTGGCCCGGCCACTTTTTTTAACACAATGCCCAAAGTGCCCAGAATGCGGGATTTTTCACCCTATTAGATTTCAAAAATTTCCTGGAGAGACCCCCCCCCCCCCCGACCCCCTCTGGCAAGACCACCTCCAACAGCGGTGCTACGCGGCTGCATCACTGTATGTTTCACACAAGACAAAGGCAGCGGGGCCCGAATTCTTTTGTTCATCACTTTGTGCTTGTAGTGGGTGGGCGAGAGGAAGTACAGTGGTCCCTCTATAATCCGGCACCATTTGTGCCAGGGAAATTCTGCTGGATTAGAGAGGGTGCTGGATTAACAAATCTGATTAACTGCTGCAATGTGCATGAAGAGGACATTTTGGTAAATGAAAATTGTGCTGGTTTATAGAGGGTGCTGGTTTATAAAGTGCTGGATTAGAGAGGGACGACTGTATAGGTTGCTAGTACTAGTACTTGGTGCTTTTATCACACAGGCCAATGTGCTATACCTAGCTTTGAGATCTGTATATCGATTCTGCTATTAGATCGCTTAGCCCCGGAATGGCGGCCGCCTTCTCCAATGGGCGCACGCGTCTCATCTCGTCCACATCGAGTCGCTTGAACAATGCCACGTTCGACAACGCGGCCGAGTGGCAGGGAGATCTCAATGATGGTATATGTGCGAGCGGTGGCCAGTTGGAGTTGGGTGCCGGCGAGGCTTCCAACAACGGATCCGAGTTGTTTGCTCAGTACTCGATCGCCCATGATGGCAAGCGAGGGCAACCACCTCCACAGCCCCAGCTATCCGCCGTCAACCCCGGGTTTGGCCTGACAGGTGCCGTTGGCGATGGCGGAGAGCTGGAACTGGATGATTATCTAGTGGGTCTACCCGACGTGTCGGTGGATGACGACGAGACGAGCAATGACGTCACTCCTGCCGCAGCTGTTGATCACCGTACGGCCCAGCCTCACGGGTCCATTGCAAACGCCCTGTACGGCTTGCACGTTGACCTGTCTCCAGTGTGCAGCGTAGCTGACAGCTCATCATTGCCTCCCAGCACAGCACCACCAACCATCATTCAGGCTGAATACTGCAGTTCAGCGGCAAGTGCTAAGACAGAGAAAGATGTCGATGAACCAGCCGGTATCATCCACGCACAGACCTCAGCCAGTGTGTTTCCTGTAGACCGCAATCGACTAGAATGCTATGTGCAGGCTTCAGAGACTGGCGAGGATGAGGAGGGTTTCAACAACAATGATGACGACGATAATGCCATCACGCATATCTAGTATGTTTGTGGATGTCCTCGCAACATCCGGATCCGCTATAATATTACCATCATCTGCTTTGAACTCACATGGAGCCGGCGTATTGGCTCATGCGCTCCCGCAACATTGCACGCCTGCCCATCGGTCTTAGACACACACACTGACATATTTACTTACACTTGCCCATCGCTGAAGTGATGATAGCGAACAAGCCATGTTAGACATACTGGTAGCAACACACGCACGCTCGCTCGCACGCACGTACACACACATGCACACACACTCGCACGCTCACATGCACGCACGCAAGCACTCATACACACACGCACGCACGCACACATACACACACACACACACACACTCTCTCTCTCTCTCTCTCTTTCTCTCTGTATCTTCCTTTGTGATTTGGGCCTGAATGCCATTGTATTTTCAGAAGTTGAGCTTGACAAACAGATCTATTTCCATTCTACTAGTACACATCCGAATTATCCACTAGTGACAACTACTGTACGTTGCGAGAGTGACAATAGTACATACGAGCAAGTTTTCATATGAATCTTTTTGGTTTGCATTTGAAAATCTTTTACACATGCATTTCCTGATTTCTTCTCCAGCGTTGTATAGTACAATAAAACCTGGTTTAAGCGACCATCCCACGGTGCACTTACAAGCTATCGCTAAAGCCAGGTGGTCTTTAGAACCAGGTCCCACAGTGTCTGTGTAGAACTGTCGGCGCGTGGAAAAACGGTCGTTAAGAGCAGGTGGTCGCTAAGCCCAGAGGTCTCTTACACCAGGTTTTGCTGTACGTGTATGTATTATACTTGTAATAGTACCCCCCCCCCCCCCCGGCACCACCACCACCACCTTTCTGCGCCCCACAGTAATCAAGTAACTAGTTACAAGAGTACATACTAAACCCCTATTGGTATTATTACTGTAAATCAACAAAATTAATTTTGGCCGGTGAGAAACTTTGGCCGATCTCGAAATGAAACTTTTGGCCGTCATTTAACTTCGGCCGATTGGGGTTCTCAAAAAAGAAATCGATTGGTATTTGTTGCCCTCACATGCAGGCATGGCTGAATAATGCATCATTTGCCTCTATGACAAATTTTGGCCTGCGATTTACTCAGTTGGCCGGTTGGTACCCAGCGACGAAATCAGCGAAAATTAGTTGATTTACAGTGGTTAAGATGGGGCGAGCCGCAGGAACTCGGATACCTTTCCTTCTCTGCTCTGATACTCCAAACACTACTGACCGAGTGAACACTACCGACCCATCAACGGGTTTGAGCACAGGTCACGATGATTACATTTTTGAAAACCGTCCCAGGGTGTTCCAACTCCGGTCGGTAGAAATCGCACATCCGCATCACCACACCCACCGGTTACATGAACATCAAAAGAGGAGGGTTTATCAACGTGTTCTGCATCTATGCCATCCAGCTCCCTGGCACTGGCCTCAACTCTGCATGTTCTGAATAACTTCATAGAACGACAAGGGCAATCAAGGCTGGTTGGTCGCTACTCTGACTTTCATGCTTTCGCAATCATCACGCAACAACTACATGTAATACTGAGCAACTAAAAAGTACTCGTGGCCGGTGAGGAAGGTATCTGTACAAACGTGTGAGGTGAGACCAATGCTCCTCTACAGATGTGTGGGGATTTTGTGTGCATAGACCAGAAATCAAGACGCAGACGGACTGATATCCTTGCCCATGCGGCAAAGAGTGCATCACACACACAAACACACACACACACACACACACACGCACACACACACACACGCACACACACACACACACACACACACACACACACTCGCACACACACTCGCACACACACACACACACACTCCTTCTCCTTCTATGAGACGCACTGTAATACCCAGTAAGCCTGGCTGACACTCTAGCTCAATTGCAATTAATACGAGTTAGTAAAAAGAGAGAGTTAAAAACCACGTTAAATAGCTGTTGAAACAACTTTGCCGAAAAGCTAAAATAAAATAAATTAAAATGATCTAAAACAATAATATATGAAGCTGGTAGTTGGTGACGTCAAAATGGGGCGCAGACAGCTCCAATTAGGCACCTCAAGTTCCACAGCGACAGGGCGGTAAGGTGCGCAGTGGACGCGTTCCCTGCCAGGACCACTGGCCACGTTTTAGGGAAGGCAAATGAAAAGCAACAGCGGATGGGACGATACATAGCACTACACATTTGGCATGGAGAAGAGAGAAAGGAAACGACAATGTACCCCTATTTTTGGCTATTGCTGAAAAAATACTTACGAATAGCGTAGTTACTAATTACGCACGCACGCACGCTCCACACACACATAGGTACCACGTGTACAGGCAGTGATGGGACATCTAGTTAAACAACACTACAGCAAAGAGAGTGCGTGGAGTGGTGGGTGCGTACAGGCAGTGATGGGACATGTAGTAAAACAACACTAGAGAAAAGAGAGTGAGTGGAGCGATGGGTGCGTACAGGCAGTGATGGGACATCTAGTTAAACAACACTAGAGAAAAGAGAGTGCATAGAGTGGTGGGTGCATTGCTGGTGGCTGTTGGCAAAAGATTCAACGCCACCGCTGGGGTGCTGTAGAAATGACTCCAAAGGGGTGTGAATAAATCCTGCTCCGAGAGTGCATATGCTGTGTTAAGTGCAAATAAATAGATACAGAGGGGGGGGAGAGAGAGAGAGAGAGAGAGAGAGAGAGAGAGAGAGAGAGAGAGAGAGAGAGAGAGAGATACAGAGAGAGAGAGATACAGAGAGAGAGATACGGAGAGAGAGAGAGAGAGAGAGAGAGAGAGAGAGAGAGAGAGAGAGAGAGAGAGAGAGAGAGAGTTGGACAGTGTGCGGTTGTTGTATTGTGACTTTAGATATGAGTAGCTAGCAACTGCCATAATAGAGTACTCCAAATATGCTCATAGGGAACAGCAAGTAGGACAATAAGCAGAAACCAGCACTACCGCACACAGACATGCACACACACACACACACACACAAACACACACACACGCACGCTAACAGCATCTAGTTAGAAAGACGATCTACTCTACAGGCGGCTAGACATGCGTTTGTCTCCGACGGCCAACGCACTTCACTAGCTATCGAAATACCAGGGGCGGAGAGAATACAAGATTTACACAGTATTTGTACTGGCAATGCCTTAAGCACAGGACATACAGCAGCGAAGACTCTAGAGGAAGAATTATGTTGAGCATCATGCAGACATGGAGGGTTAGTGTTCGTAGTCAGTGCAGGTACAGTTGCCGGGGATTGACCCAGCAGAAGATGGCCACTTCAGACAACCTGGTCTGGATGTGGCAGGAGAAACGCGTGTCGATTGGTACGAGTATGAGACATGGTCATGAGTCTGACCAGCTGGCAATGATGGACTGAAGCGGTCCGGTGGCTTGGGTCGAACGCAATTGCGATATCGACACGGTCCAGGTGTGGGATACGTTAACTTGCATCATTCACAGTGTTGATAAACACCGTGCGTGCGTGTGTGTGTGTGTGTGTGTGTGTGTGTGTGTGTGTGCGCGCGCGCGCATGTGCGCTCATTTGAAGGGGGACGTTTTCAGGTTGCTCATCCAGTTACGAAACTTACACAACAAGCATTCAAAGCAGGATATGTTCTGAGTCTGCTGACGGATGAAGCACCGGAGGCGTCAAGGCTGGAGAGGGTTGCCAGTTTGGCTACGGAAGCAGAAGGAAAGCCAAGAGACTTACACTTGAATACGAAATAGAGAGAGAGAGAGAGAGAGAGAGAGAGAGAATTATGGGATGAGTGCTTGAGGCAGCCAGCAAGCTTGCTGGCGATGTCTCGGAAGACGAATCTACGTGACTGCCCGCAGTCAGACTAGAGGCAAATTTCCGGGACATTCTCCGCAAGGTGCGGCGTGTAGTGGCACCACACCGGCCGGCATGAGAACTTGACAAATCTTTACTGGACACAGAAGCGTAGTCAAGTGTATGTAGATAGCGGGGACAGGCAGAGACAGTGAGTTGGAGGTGGGTTTCAGAACATGCGCACGCGATTTGCACTGGTATCCCTGCTAATCCTGCTGCCGCAGTGCAGCAGTTTCTGCGAATTTGACGCGGCAAGAGTAACCATAGCGATAAGGACAGGTAGGGCCGGGTGGCAGACGGGCAGCAGCATGGAGCGTTGATCAACCACTATGGAGCTGTGCGTGTGTTTGTCGTCTTTCCACTGCGGCACTTTGTGCACTGCACCAGACGTGTGTGCGGCCGATTTATCGTTACTCCTGGTGATTTGGGGGTGGATAATAGGGCTTGATTGTCTCTTCAATCAGCCTGAACGGGCCGGTCGTCATCTCCACAGTACGGCCGGTCAATGCTCAGTACTTCATTCATCAAGTCTGGCATCATCAATACACGAGTGTCGGCGGCGTCCCCCGAATCCTTGTGGGCATCCGGCAAGGTTCTTCCGACCATCGGACCTAGCTTGAGTCCGCTCGGCTTTGGCACTTTGGACCGCGGCGGTAGAGGCTGCTGGGTCTTTGTCCTCCGCGAGTTGGGATGCAGTCGCTTCATCGACGAAAGGTTCTGCGGAAGAGGTGGCCGCACAGCGGAGCCCTGAGTACATATCGTGGCACTGCGAGGCCGGAGGTGAACGTCAGCGTTGCCACTACCGGCCGCTGACCTTACTTTGCCGGGAGCTGGTGACGATAGCACTTCATCCAAGATCACGTCCTGCGGGTCATCAAGGAAATTCTGATCCGGTATCGAGGCCGGCAGCTCGGCGACGAGCGATTTTGCGTCCGGCGACGTTGGCTTGTCCATAATGGCGGGCATCAAAGAGGAGATCTTCTGGTAGCCGCCACTGCTCTCCGGCTCTCGGCAAACCGCCGCCGCCGCCCGTTGCAGCTTGATGAGGTCCGAGCTAGACCAGGTCTGGCGACGCCGCGTGGCCACAGAGCCAGCGGTGGCGCCGTCGTCTTCGCCGTTCCGATCCGTGTGCAGTACCTGGGCGTAATTGTTCAGGTTCTCTTCTTCCCGAACGCGAGCTGAAGAGAGCGACAAGGCACCGGCACCTGACGTCGTTGCTTGATCGCCCGTGGGCAGCGCCGGAGAGGCGGACTTGGACGGAGAGCGTAGGGCGCCCGTGGGCAGCGCCGGAGAGGCGGACTTGGACGGAGAGCGTAGGGGAGAGTGCAACAGACTAGCTTTGCCCCCACCGCCGACACGATCGGTCAGTTTGACGCTGTCCCAGATGTCGGAGGAGTCCTGCAGCGGAGAGAGCTCCGACAGGGTCTCCGGGATGGCCGTCAGCATCTCCGGCGCGGAGCTCTCCGCAGTGGAGCTGGACATGGAAAAACGTGCTTTGCTGGCTGCCTGTACGCTGGGCGCGCTGGACGAATCGACGCTGCCGGTACTGCTGCTGCCACCACTGGGCGCGGCGGAGGCCTGCATGAACGCCTTGCGACAATCCAGCGGGAACGAATAGCCGGCCTCGTCTCGAATCTGCTGTGCAATGCGGGCCCTGACGGACGAAGCACTCGACGATGCGGTTCCCTTGCCACCACCGCCGGCCTCCTGGAGTCTTGGTAGAATCAATTGGTCGGTGGGCGTTCCGGAATCACCTCTCTTGGCAGCTTGTTTGTCTGCGTCCTCACTGCCCGCTATGCTCTTGCAGAACTCAAGGCGTTGCTTCGTAAGCTGCTTGTCGGCAACAAGGTCGGCGGTCGGGTGTGCCGACGGTTCACCACTGGTGTGCGATCTGGACGGGATGATTGTCTGCTGCTGTTGCTGTTGCTGCAGCTGCTTTAGCTTCCTGGCGCTTGCTGCAGAATCCAGTGATGAGGGGACCCCCGGATCTCGCTGGGTCATGTTCACGCACGAGTTCTGGGCGTGCAGCACAAAGTAGCAGGGATCGTCCAGGCTTTCCCGGCCACCGGTCACGGTCGGGGTGAACGTGCCCCAGGACGGGGCCTTGAAGCCCTTGCGACAATCCGGCACCGTCATGTCCATCGTGGCGGCTATCTGCGCTAGCCACGGGCGCAGGCGGATGAAGCTTAGGCACTGTCGGTTTCTACATAGCATAATGGTGGGAGAAGAACAGCTGGGACACGATTGGCCATCGAGTACGTCTTGCGAGTCGGTCAGATCAGACACGCTGCCATCGCTCTCAAACTCATTCTCGTCGCCATTTCCGCTGGCCACCTTCTTCACACGGCAGTACGGCGACGCGTCCTTGAGCGGCTTACTGGCCTCCGGCTGGGACTCGTCCTGGAGACTGCTCCTGCGGAACAATCTGTTCGTTACCTTGCTGCCACTGTACACGTGCTGGTATGCCGTGTAGGCGCGCGTCCTGCCCGTGTGCTCGGCAATGGCGCGGCGCATACGGATGACGCGTCGCACCTCGGCCGTGTCTGAGCACGTTGTGGTGTCGCTTATGGACGAGTCCGTGTACTTGCCAGAGTCGTGCTGGCTGTCGGAGACACACTTCAGGCACGAGAACACGTCGACTGGTAGAGACTGCACCGAGGACGAGTACTGTAGCGAGAGCTCCCTCTTGGTCACCATGGCACGCAGGTCGCTGATGCGAGGCATTGACTTGCTCTCTTTAACTCCCAGCGGGGGCTTTGCGTGTGGAGAGACGGGACCCTCGTCCAGGGAGCTGCAGAACTGGAACACTGTGCAACAGTCAACAGAAACGTGCGCGCGCGCCCGCGCAGATGGGGACATGTACATGCATGCATCCACACAGAGAGACAGACAGACAAACAGACAAACAGACAGACAAACAGATAGACAAACAGATAGACAGACAGACAGACAGACACGAACACACATGAACACAGACGATTTGGACAAGTGAAATCAGGCTGATTTTCACGTCAACAAGCCGTACTACGTACACGGATTGCGCAGTGCACTGTACACTACACACTGCCGCATCAGACATGCATATGGAGCTGCACGTGCACTGCCTTCTGTGCTGGACCTGCAATATGCTTTCGCCCACCGGCGTTCACACGGAGGTGGGCTGGACAAGAGTGTTGACACAAGGCGCCTGGGTGAGCACATAGGTATGCGGGTCTTCACGGTGCCGTAAAGTACAGCGAGAGCGCTTCACCTCGACTTTACAGCCAGGGAAAGAGAAACACGGCATGGCAGAGTGCATGCAACTAAGTTTGCACAGTGTGCACGCCCAGTATACTCGTAATACGGTCACACCTACAGTGCATTTCGAAAGTCCAGACCTCTAGTTTCAAAAAACCGTTAGGCCAGCATCTATACCACATAATATCTGTGATCACTTTGTGTATAACCTTTTCGCAATTGGGCGTCTGTTATCCAATCACTTCGAAATTATATGAGCAATATTCCGAAAAAATTCTCGAAAATCTCAAACCAAATTGGAATTATTCGAAAACGTCTAGAGGTCTATAGTTTTGAAACGCACTATAGCATGTGTCATGACCCGAATTCGACTCGTCGTGAAAGCGACCACGCAATGAGATTCAGCAGCCAAAGCTGGGCTCCGAATTTTTCTAGAGTTCTGTAAGAACCATGACTTGTCCTGCGAAGGATTTGGCACTTTCGTTAGTTGACCAATCATGGCTTACAACTAGTGGCCTAGAGTCACAAGTGTTGTCGTACGTCGGCAACACCAAGTACAAGTCGTCAGCATTGTACTCACTACACTGTTGAGCTTGAGGGGACCCTGCTTAGTCCTGCAAGGGAGCTGCTACCTTTGTTAGTCGAGCAAGCAAGGCCCCTCTTCTCGCGTCGTACGACGTAAAGGGTCCTGCAAGTGCTTCGCGCACTGCGGACTCCGTTATCCCTTTTTTGGGAGAGGTCACGGCTTGACCGTGAAGCACCTACGGGGCAATGAGAGGGAAGAGCCTACGGGCAGGAGATAAAGGGTGACCATCAATCAAGGCAGCGTACGAAGGCGGCGTGCTCTGACTGCAGCAACTTCCGACAGCGTACTCCAGGCCCCGTGGCACGAAGAGCCTCGAAGGTCAATAATATTAGCAATACTATCATGTAATGTGGGTGAGCGAGCTCCCCGGAACCATACTAAATATTTACTACTAATTATTATAATTATACTATAGCAAAATCGCATAAAAGCCGCCTTCTCCAATGAATAAAGTATCTTTGATCGTTCCCCTTCAATCTTCGACTACCTTGTGTGAGCCGGAAAACAGGCGAGCCACTTATCTGCTTGAGTCGACTATATTGGTTGACGACCTGGTGCCACTAGATGGATCACCGGCCATGACATGTGGTGCTGTGACCAGGATCAAGCGATAATGCTAAAACATTGTCAAGTGTGTTCCCTTCTTGAACAGAATCGAGAATGGCGGACAAACAGCTAAAGCGTGGCCCACCCGAGGCGCGACTCCCACGACATGCCGCGCATCAGCAAGACCTGATCGTGGCCTTGCAGGCGGGTGCCTCAGCATTGGAGGCCTTGCATCGGCATTCGCAGGCCCAGAAGCTCCGGGCTACTGCAGGCGGGCTGACGTCCATCTTGATGGCATTGAAGAAATTCTCTTCAGCAATCGAAGAGGGCCCGAGGGGCCTCCCCGAAACGGCAAAAACCCGCAAAGGCGGCACCGCCTCGTAATCGTGCAAATGCAGATGCAGTCACTGCAGTCCGAGACGCCGCAAAGGCCGAACGCGAACGCCTGACGGCAACCACCGACGCGGCAGTCGACGACGCCGCCAGCTTGGCCTCGGCCGAAGCCGAGATGTTATCGTAAGTAACTTGAAAGATGGCCCTAGAGGCGAACTTGAACAAACTTGTGTTTTGTGTGTCAAAGCATGAGGGTTGATATTGGACTAGTGGTATAAACTAGCTCCAAGGACTGCATGTACAAGGTAGTCAAACGAGGACGCACCCCAGCATGCTGCGTAGATCCACACCCCTGCGCTCTTGAGTCAGGAATGGGAGAAATCACACTAGAAGTAAGTTGTACTCATAGTCTGACTAAAAAACAGCGTAGCCTGGCCAGATGCGGTCAGCAGGAACGACGGTTCAGGAAGCTTCTACGGGAAGTGAATAAGGGGCGACTCGTCACACCTGAGCGGTACTCGAGGACCAGTAGACCCTCCACGGTCACTTGGGTTGGCAACATTGCACGGTGTACTACTGACCCAGTGACTGGCGACAGTCCGCATTTAGATTGTGTGCGCAGGCGCTGCGCAGGCCGCGCCACGGTGCCGAAAGCGAACTGGCGCTGACACGTCAGCGGCCCAGGGATAAAAGAGACCGATGTGGGGCTAGGAAATCATTCCACCTTCGGGTCTGCCTAAGAAGCTTAAACAGCCTCTCCTTCAAGCTTTGCTTGCCTCTCGTGCTTATTAGCATTTGTAACTTGCAATCAATTGCAACTAACATGGCTCAAAACCGACCTGCGGCTGGTGCCCATGTCGCTGCTGCAGCTAACACTGCTGGAGGAGCACCGAATGCTCCAAATGCAAGGCCTTCCGTCATGCCGGAGGCTTATACAGGCCAAGGTGATTGGTTGGAGTACCTCGAGTATTTCAACCTTTGTGCCGCGGTAAATCAATGGAACGATGCGCAGCGCGCACAATTTTTGGCAGTCCGTCTTCGCGACGGGGCACAACAATTTCTGGGCTCTGTCCCAGCTGCAAGGAGAGCCGTTTGGGCCGACCTGGTGGCGGGCCTCACGGACCGTTTTGCTCCGGCAGGCGCAGCACGCCAGTATAAAGCACAATTTCATACCCGCCGGCGGCGTGCGAATGAGGACTTCGGCACCTTGCGTGACGAATTGCACAAACTGGTGGGCCGGGCGTACCCAACCATGCAACCTGCCTTGCAGGACGAACTGGTCCGAGATCAGTTCCTAGATGCCGTAACCCCAGAAAGGTTGCGTATACGGTTGCACGAAAATGCACCGCAGACGGTCCAGGCGGCTGTCGAACTGGCTACCCACCTAGAGAGGGCATGGGAGCGCGATGAGGTCGACAAAACCAGTCGTCTATTACAGACGGGTGACACAGACCGGTTACAACTAGTCACCACAGCTGTAGAACCAAAGCCACCCACTCATAGCAGGGTATATTCTAGGACGAATTTCCAACCGGTTACGGTCCAATGAAGAGTCGGTCCCCCCCCGGAATTTTTTTAAAAATACAACCCAAATATGGCACTCGACAGCAATTTGACGCGTTTGACCATTCACAGCTCCATTCACCCACAGAAAAGTACAGGCAGTTGGAACTGATTTGTAACTTTTCAACCGGTCGCCAACAATTTCAACCGGTCGAAAACCGGTTGGGGCGGTTCTAGAAAATTCCCTGCATAGCGAAGTCTCTGACTTAGCTAAGATGGTGGCACAGCTTACCACTAAGGTAGAACACCGTATGGGTGCTCGGGGTCAACCTCGGAGCGGACTAAACCACCCCATCGTGTGTTGGCATTGTGGCCAACCGGGCCATGTCAAGCACCACTGCCCTCGGTGGGTAGCTGAAAACGCACGGGCTGTAGGTCCGCCTAGAGCTAGGGGTAACCCTCATACCGGGCACCGATTTTCGGGAAACGGACAGTGACCGGGGAGGCAGACCACCTCAACGGTCACCGTGATTCTGGTCGCGATCCAGACTGGGTGTTGGAACCATCGACGTCCACACCCTGTGATGGTCCGTCAACCGACGGGTACGATGCTAGTTCTGAAGTGATCGCAGACCTTAGTCGGGCTGGGGGAAATCAGGGAGGAATGTTGATCGAAGGTGAAGTTAATAGCTGGCCTATTCCAATGCTAGTAGATACTAGCTCTGCTGTAAGTCTCATATCAGAAGACTTGTTCTGCGAACTAGGGTATCAGCACGCTGACCTAGAATCACCAGACATAGGTGTGAATTTTCGTGGTGCCGACGGTACACACTTGGAACGTTTGTGGGACTGTAGTCTTAAACCTGGGCACCCAGGCAGCTTCGTGCTTGCACGGGATGCGAGTTGTACGAGGACTTCGCTACCAATGTTTAATTGGACGCGACGTACTTGCGCAAATCCCCTGCGAGATCCCTTCGGATGGTGGAGCACTGCATTTTAAAGCTTCTAAAGCTGACGTCGTTCCGCCAAGCCATGATGGTGACGGCAAACGAGAGCACGTTCTTCGCTTGCGGAGGCGTGAAGTGATACCCCCATTTTCGGAGGTGACGGTTAACGCCGTGCTAGACAAGTCGGAAGGGTTGCCGACCTGTGCCTTGACGATACCGGATGGGTGTTTCCAAGGAATGAATGATGTCATGATGGCGCATGCGCTAGTGAGCCCTACGGTGGATGGTGTTCCCGTACGGGTGTTGAATTACTCTGACGAGGCAGTGGCTCTAGAGAGGGCAATGCAGATTGGTCGGTTAGGACACTCTGGCTGATGGCCAGAGGGAGGAATCAGTTCAGGTAGCTGAGACGGAAGACTCCCTCGGGGTCTGGAAGCAGTTGCGTATTGGCGCAAGACGTCCGGTTGTGGACCCCCGGAAAGGTTGGAAGAGTACGGACTCGACCATGGAACCTTTGAAGTTGGATGGGTTGGACCCGATCCTGGAGCCTGGCAGGTTGGACGAGCTGGACTCGATTCTTCTGCATGTGTGGAGCTCGCATTCGCTCGAAGGTAAACTGAGTACGGATTGACCGCACAGTGTGCAATGTGCATACAGGGTACGCGTCCACGGAAGTAGGTGGTGGTGGGGTGAGCGCTCGTGATGCTTGAAACGTGGTTGATTTGTTAGCAGGGGCTCTGGGAAAAGGTGCAGTTCCCCATGATGCCGCGATTTCCCTTTCAAATGCCAAGATTCTCATCACATGGCCAGACTATCACTGGGCTATTCACGTACACTCTTACCTCGGTCATCCGTACCCCCAAGTTACGGGCACTTCGGTCTACCGGGCACCCTTTGGGCGAGTTCAAGTGGTAATAGAGAGGTTCCGCATAACGTAATTACGTCAGTAAAAAACGTAGTCGATCTACGGAAAGTCTTACGTAAACTGCATGCGCATCTGTGTTCCGCCATACGGAGTTTTCAAATCACGTAGCTGCCCTTGGCAACTCCGAAAGTGGCAGTGTACGACCAGATCGACCTGGGGAGAGAGTCATAAATTTGTACCCCAATCCACTTACGGACCAGCTACGTTATCAGAGCCCTATCTACGTACTCTACGTAGACAACTTTCCGTAAGTGGAGTGCAAACTCGCGAATTCACGGGTTTTTCCCGCCCACTAACGTAAAGTTGCTCAACTTTACGTAGTGCGGAACCTCTCTAATATCACTACTCTTTTGTCACTATTAAATATTTTGTGGAAATAGTGACGTCATAATGCTATATCCATGGCCTTTCCCCCATCGAAATGTACTGTAAAGCAATAAACGTTTGCGGCGCGCAAAGTTTGCGTTTTCAAGAATTGTGCCGGTTCACGACGAGAAACTTTCGCGATTTAATCTCTTCAATTGGATCCTGTACAGTCAAAAATCAATGCACAGAGCAGGCTGCGGTGATTTATATTCGCGAATGTGTGATGGTGGCGAAAATAGCGAAATTTAATCTCTAGCGAACATTTCTCACTGTACAGTATGTGATTCGGAGTTACGGAGATTTCAAAGTTACGGGCAGTGCCCGGTCCTGGACAAACGAGGTACAGTGTACTTGCATGCGCACTGCATGGATATACACACTGTCCTGTCTAGGCGGTTTCCAGGACAGCTGGCAGGGCCAGGGTCACTGGGCCAAGTGTGTGCAGATCACATTATGGAGAGTTCGTACAACAAACGACTAAACAACAAATGTGTACCAGATGCACATATCTGTGTGTGTGTGTGTGTGTGTGTGTGTGTGTGTGTGTGTGTGTGTGTGTGTGTGTGTGTGTGTGCGTGTGTGTGTGACAGGCCTACCCTCGTTAGTACGACATTGGTTAGGCTGGCATCACACTACGTAGCTATATTCTCTGACTCCCGTCTACGTCGACGGTGAAAAATCCAAAACGGGTGGTCCTATCATCACACAGGCACAGTTCTTGACCCGTACACGTGATCACGTTTTCAAGTGTAGAAATTTGAAAATTCAAATGCACCGACAAGGTCGCCCGGTTAAAAGACTGGGAGAGATACACACGTTCACCCGTTTTAATTCAAAATAGTTGTAACCCCAGGGCTGCCACTTGCTCCGATTTTTGATCACCTGTCGGACAAACGGACCGATTTTGTTCCCAAAGAGGGACAACCGATTATTTTATTTTGAGCGCTTTTTAGTCCAGTTGGCCATTCGGCGCTTCCAGGTCGCGTTTGGCCGGTCATTGTACAATATGTAGCTGTAAAAATGCATGCGTACTTGCATGTGTGTGGACAGCTAAAAATGTGTTCTGGGGCCCCAACAGCAAGCCATTTTCCTAAAAAAAATTCACCGGGGGACACCCCCGACCCCCTTCACATTTTTCTCCCTCCAAGTGTGGCAGCCCTGTAACCCCCATCCTCTCTTCCTACCACGTCTACGTTTCCTCAGCTCCCGTTTTCACCCCGTACATGGATCATCATGACAACCGACCAAAAACTCCCAACGTGGACGTAGACAAAGCGCTTTGTACCATGGTGTGATGTCAGCCTAAGATCCACGTATGAAATGAAAACGGGAGCAGTGGAAACGGGAAAGGTAGACATGGTAGGGAGAGAGAGACAAAGAGGGGGGGGGGGGGGTGTATACAACTTGTTTGGATGACCTTGTGTATCGCCCCCAGTCTTTTTCCAAGCGACTATGAACGTGCGTTTGAATTTTCAAATTTCTCCAAAAAAACGTGACCGCGTGTACAGGTCAAGAACTGTGCCTGTTTGAGGACACGACCACCCGTTTTGGATTTTTCTACGCAGACTTAGACGTAAACGGGAGTCAGAGAACGAAGTGTGATGACGACCTTACAGGACACTTCATTATTAGCCATCGTTCAAAATCCACTGACGTCTGAAATGTGTACATTCACGTCCGGATAGTGGATAATACTCGTTATAAGACAAACAATTTGAAACCTGGAGCCGCTTGAATGTACAGTCAAACCTCGTTAGTACGAACTTCAAGGGACTGAGCAAGTAAGTCTGTCTTATCTGGATTTCTTCTTATCCAAATCTGACCAAAAATTGATACAGTCAGACCTCGCTTAACCGCACACATCTGTTTTCCACAAAAACATCCGGATAGGCGAGGTAACCGGATAACTGAACACACATACTGAATATGCATGTGGCATGTCAAAAGCAGTGACATCATACATACATGTAGACAGGTCCTATGCAGTACAATTAGCGTGCCCAGTATGTAAAACAAGCCAGAAAAATGACAAGTGGTGCTGTCCGCACACACCCAGCAGGTCAAGGACCTCATTTGCTTGTACAACTCCCTGACACTAGCTTCTGCAAGCGCCAGCCAGCCACATGCAACCGGATACGACGAAGCATTTTGTACACATTTTAACCAGTTTGTACGCAAAATCATGCACCGGTATGCGGATCGCGAGGTCCGGTTATGTTGTATGCATAACATATGCTGCACATCGATAACCAGCGATTTTCTTCCGGATGGCGAGGGATCCGGATAAACGAGGACCGGATAAACGAGGACCGGATAAACGAGGTCTGACTGTATACATTATCATATGGGCTGTTTTTTCTCTGTGAAATTGCATGCTGGGGCACATGTAAAGCATTCATAGCGTAACCTCGCAACAGGTACAATGTAAGTACAATGTGCAAATGAATTCATGACGGCATGTCCTCCGATCCGCCGTGTAACACGCTGCCAATTCGTTTTTCCTGTACAAGAGGCCTCGACTATCGAAAAAAATACAGCCAGCGTACACAAGGGGACCGAAAGTTCGTACTACGCGCTGATTTCGTTCAAATCACGGTTGAAAATAGTTCGTCTTCGCGAAAGTTCGCCGTACAGGAGTTCGTCATAAACGAATAATTTTGACTTAATTTGATGTCTGGCCAACCATGGATTGGCCCTAGTTCGTACTAATGGAAAAGTTCGCCTTATCAGTGTTTATCCTAAAGAGGTTTGACCGTGAGTCGCAATTTCTTACACTAAACCTCAAAGGCAAGGACAGTGGGATGCGACTCACAATTGTGTTCAACTTCTTACCTTTTTGAATCCATAAGAACAATTTGGCTCGGGCCTGAAATCATTAAAAATCATCGTTCACTTTAGACGCAGGGCATGATCGATTGGGCGAATCCTGAGCAAGTGCACTCCGCATGAGCGTGATCGTTTGGCAGAATCTGGAGTAGGTGTGCTTGGAGTGCAATCCGACCACACCAGCCCCCACACCGGGTGTGTGGCTGGAGTGGAAATAGACTTTGGCATATTTTGGACAGCAGCTTTCACAGAATCTTTGTACGATATGCGTGCATTTTACGTACTACACCCTTGCTATGTTCGATTGGGCCAGCGTTGCTCGGACCACACCGGCTGCTCGCACTCAATCCAGATTCGCCAATCGGTGACACCCTCAGTTAGAGACTGAGTTTTCAGCATCCGTAGGAACACCACCGGCCTGCAAAGATCAAAGGCGCAGATGCCGTCCCTCAATCAGTTACGGCAAGAGTAGATAAACAAGAGTGTGCAACTGCCTGCACAACCTCTATGCTGTGCTGCGACGGCAGAACTTCACATCACGTGACATGGTTCAAAAGGTTATGCTGGCAAACAGTGCAAAGTGACCACAAGAGAGTTGTACCCAAAGCTGGGCTGCGTACAACCCAGTATCTATCATGCACTAGAGTGCACGGGTTCATCACGTGATGTGAAGTTCTGCCGTCGCAGACCCCATAGCTGGAGTTGCACACTCTTGTTTATCTACTCTTGGTTACGGTAAGTCAACAAATATTCGGCGCATATTTATTTTCAGCTATTTTCGGCCTGACTCGGGCCGAAAATTTATTGCAGCCGAATATTTGTTTTGCAAGTATCAGTGTTACAGTGCATACAGTCAGCAGCAGTACAGGCCGAAAAATGGTTGCAGCGAAAATGTGTTTTAACCCTGGGAGGCCGAAATTTGAATGGGCCGAAATTTTCCGACTTACAGTACAAAAAATATTTAAAAAAATTTCACGGTTCGCGTGAGACTCGGCTGGAAGCCGAGTTTTCGCATCCGTAGGAACGCCACCACCCTCTAGGGTCAAGGCGCAGATACAGCGCCTAAAATGCATACAGTCAGCAGCAGTACAGGCCGAAAGTTTGTTGCAGCCAAAATGTGTTTTAGCCCTGGGAGGCCGAAATTTGAATGGTCCGAAAATGTCCGACTTACAGTATAAAATAAAATAAATCACGGTTCGCGCCGAGTTTTCGCATCCGTAGGAACGCCACCACCCTCTAGTGTCGAGGCGCAGATGCAGCGCCTAAATTGTGGGAGGTGAGAGACTTACAGTATAATCAGGTAAATACGGTTGCCACACTTACCATCACCACCGTCACTGCCGGTCACTGTACCACCTGTTCCCGGCGCGGTCGTGTAGAATCCAGAGCCGCTGTGGTCGGTGTCGGTCGACGGCTGCTCGCTGATCTTGACGTGCTGGAGCGGCGGTACGTTAGGACTGGCTGTGCGCAGCGGCGGAGTCGTCGACGGCTTGACCAGCACGGGGCTGCACGGGTGAGACTTGCCGGTGGCGCTGCTGCCTGAACTGACGCTGCTCGGCGTTATGGTGATGTTGGATGTCTTGACGACGCCGGAGTAGATTGGCTGTGCGTTGGAGCTGTTGTTGGCGGCGGTGGAGGCAGGAGAGGACAGGGGTGGGGTGGTCGGCCTCGCCGAGCTCGGCGGCACAACAATGCTAGTGATGTTGGGCGGCGCAGTGGTCTTGGTCGCCCCCAACAAAGGTCCCACTCGCATCAAGATGTTACCCTGATCACCGACGCTGCCGTCCAGGATACCCGACGAAGACACAACTGACTCTAGACGATTGCCGCTTTCTGCACATCGCAGGCACACACAACACAGTCGGGAGAATGAGAAGGTGATAATGAGGCAACAATGAAAACAAAGAGTCTTGGCGTTGCAACCCAGAGCTGCAGTATCCCTCCTAGCTCTAGCATAGCAACGGTAGCGGGTGGTTAAACACTCACCCACATACAGGTGTGGGTGCAGAAGTCACAGCAGGGAGATAAGCGCCAGCAACAACAACAGCAAAACCAACATCCACACGATGACCACCACCAACAACTACCAACACCATCATCTTGAACAAAAACTACAACAGCAGCAGCAGCAGCAGCAGCAACAACAACAACAACAACAACAACAACAACAACAACAACAACAACAACAACAACAACAACAACAACAACAACAACAACAACAACAACAACAACAACAACAACAACAACAACAACAACAACAGTAACTCTTTTCCCTTATTGGCCATAGGCCATCGTGAGAATAAAAGATTTCAAAAACAACAACAACAACAACAACAACAACAACAACAACAACAACAACAACAACAACAACAACAACAACAACAACAACAACAACAACAGCAACAGCAACAGCAACAGCAACAACAGCACCGACACCACAACCACCACCAGCAGCAGCAACAACAACAATAGCACCACCGACACCACCGACACCACCAACACCACCACCACCACCATCAGCAGTACCTGCAGCAGCGGAAACTGAGTGCAAATAGAGAAAAGGAAAGAACTTACCTGAAGAGAGCAGGCCACTGTGTTTCTTGGAGCATTTGCCCGACACGGTGCGGAGCTCCTCGGTCATTCTTGTGTTGACCGAGCTCTCCATGATGGAGTCCTTATCCACCGACGGTGAGTTCTCATACAGATATGTATCTCCGGCTTCAGAGCCAGTCTTTGTACTGGGAATGTAGCTGCTGTTATTGCCAGTGCTGTGCAGCGTCGAGCCCCTAGGCAGGTAGGTTCGAGACTCGTCGCCGCGGAAAATGCGCGAGCTCTCGCTGCTGCGCTGTCCAGCGGCCACCGACTTCTGTGAGATGAACGCCTGCAGGTCCGCCTGAATGCTGCTGCGTCCCTGACAATGAGAACACCTGGACAGACAGAGTAAGGGGTCGTCGCAAAAGTGTTTTTGTCGTCCCTGAAACGAACATGATTCATTCGGGGGGGGGGGGGGGGGGGTGCGAGCCAAAATCGCAAGTCGACCGGCACTGTACATATGACATGCACATGCATGCGATTTTCGTCGTCCAGCATAGCAAGCTGTGTTCGTTTTAGAGGGAGGGGAGGGAGGGGGTCCGAGTACGAAATGAACGATGTTCGTTTCAGGGACGACAGCAAACGTTTGCGACGACCCCTGATATGCACACACCGCATGCATACAGGCACACATTTGCTAAAGAGTCTGGGTTGGAGGAAAGCAAATCAGCACACGAAACACAGAAGCCATAATTATAGTTTCGACTAGGCCTTTCAAGTTTCGTACCATCACTTTTCAAGTCGAATTGCTACGTTGTGAATCGCCATTGTATTCGACTAGAAACGTAATGGTACGAAAGGCCTAGTCGAAACGATATGGCTTCTGTGCTTCGTGCGCTCACATTTGCTATACACCAGCGCTCAGTGGTTAGAGCATCCCTGGCCTCGTCAGGCGAAATTACTGTCCGTCGGCGACACGCATTTTTCACAAAAATTTGCGTTTCACCTGCGGGGAGGGTATGCGTGTACTCGAGTCTTATCCTGAGCATGTTTTTTTCTTCTTTTTTTCAGCTCCATTATCTGTATTTTTCATTGCAAAGCTGTCCTCAATTGTTGTGTTCGTTGTTCAAACGAAGTGGACATTCAGTCATGAAGGCAGAGGACATAGGAGCCTGATTGGAGTTTCTCGTGGCATAGGACGGCCACACAGAGACACTTTGGGATTTTCTGAATACAAAATACCGTACGCACGATGCTGACATCAATTTGTGTGATATCAAATTGTTTGTGATCTACCACATCGAGCAGAACGGGATCCAAACACAAGCTTACCGACGGTTAGGCTGCCGACCTGACTGGACAAATGATCCCTGGCTTCACCAGACGCCAGAAGTCGGACACCATGTCCTTTGCCGCGACGTCCATCTCCAAAAAGAACTCCATCTTCGTCGTGAAAAGGCTTGAAATACTCAATATTCAACCGAGATTCGCGGTCTCACCCTTTCTCAGATCGGATCATTTTTTGTTGTAGCAGTTGCAGGGCAGATCCCCGCCACTACTTCAACAGAAGGTGGCTCCAAAGCATGCCTGGAACAAGCCATATCGAGGTTGCAAGCCACCCCTCTCAGCACTTTTTCTGAAGAATTTTCGAAATTTCAATGGTGGAAGATATACTATGAAGAGAATTTCAAAAAGTATGTTTCGCGGAGCGATCGCTCAACCTACGTCATTCAAACTTTGCAGGATGGTTCAGACGTACATGCTAGGCATGGAACCACAGAAGATGATATCATAGCTGACACACAGAGTCACACACACAGCAGATTCGTGTGCACAGATACTAAATTAGTGGACATCGTCATCTTCTCTCCGCTTATCTCAAATGTACTATGACGTGCTATTTCGCCTGACGTGTAGTGAAGGTCCCTGGTGGCGAGTCAGTGACAGTCATTTTTCCTTCTTCAGACTCTTCCGCCCGTTCAACACCGTCACTCGACTAAGATATGTACACATCTAGACGCGCACATGTGCATACCACACCCATCCACACTCACACACGCATTCGCACCCACCCCACGACAAAACAAACGGCGCAACTGTCCTCCTCATCCATGTTGGCATTTCTCTCTTTACATCTGTCGGAATGTCGATAACTCACCAGTGCCGGTTCCAGGTACCGTAATTCCCCGATTATAGGTCACACCTTTTTGCACTAAACTCTCGGGGAAAAGAAGGGGATGCGATTTACAATCGAATGTGGCATCCTGTTTATGTGAATATAGTATACTGCAGGAATATGGCTCAAGACTGAAAGTGAGATGTGACTCATAACCGGAGAGACACGGTAGTATCATGAGCACTTGTGCAAACGCGTGCAGCAGCTAGAAAACGCATGTGCAGCAATTCTTTATAGTACCAGCAAAAGTACATACCGTATTTTACCGGTTATAAGTCGACCCCGGTTATAGGTCGACCCCCCGTATCCGGAGGTCTTAATTATGTTTTTAAAGTGTTTGCCCAACGAAGCACTGCTAACCGCTCCCTGCTACTAACACATGAACAAATCACATAAACACTCCTCATTGGATTCTGAAACATCCAAATCCTTGAAAAAGGCAAATAAACTTGGCAAAAATGCATACACATGGTGCACTCGTGTATTCAGTGCAGGTCATTTTTGGAAGATACCGATAATTCCCGGTTATAACTATATAAGTCGAATCCCGGTTGTAAGTCGACCCCCACCTTTTCTCCTGCTATTTTCAGTCGTAAAAGGTCGACTTATAACCGGAAAAATACGGTGCCACCAAGAGTGTGCAACTGCGTGCACAACCTCTACGCACATCAGGGTTTCCACTATTTTTAATAACAGTATCTTGCTTGCTGGTCACTGCACAAGCCTATGAGCAAATGTGCGCACCGCCTGTACCCACCATCATGCACAGAATATGCTTATGATAATGTGGTATCTCGTCACCTGTGCTATTGAAAAGAGCTGAAAATTATGATCTCGGTCAGGGACTCAGAAGCATTTGCATGTATGCCTTACAGCTCAAAGGAGTAACATTTTTGGCAAATTGCCGGCAAAGTACTCGAAACACAAAGTGCAGAACGTTTTAAACGAGAAAGAGAAAGAGGCCTAGTTCGAATCCAAACTGGCCCTCTTTCGCTTTTGCCTTGCAGGTTATACAGCCACACCGGCCCAACTGCACAACTGCACAGAAAACAGCTGACAAAAGTCACAAAACTGCCACTCACATCTGATTCAGGGTTTTGCAGGGCTGCCGTCGCCTGGAGCAGAAGATGGCGCCGCCGCTGATGAGAATGTTCACGCAGCACAGGACAACAAGCGACGGCAGCAGACCAAGATTGGACATGTCCAAGGACTGCGGCGGTGAAGAAGTGGTGACCGGAGTCTCGCAGGTTATTGGCGAGACGTCCGGTTCTCGAGAGGCGGACGCAGGCGACGGTTCGATTGCAGTTGGTGCATTCCTCGCTTGCGGTTCGGGAGTACTGGCTGCATGGGAGAGACATGAACACCAAGACATCAGGGGTGTTGGACAAGCTACTGTAAAAGCAGAAATTTCCGGTGGTGTAACATTTTCGGCATTCCCCCAAATGAGCGGCTCGGTGGAGGAAAGTTTCGGTAAACCCGTTTTCCAGGTACTAGTTAGTGTACTCGTACCGAAATTTTCCGTGCGTTTTATTTTCGGTCAAAATTTCGGCACCGAAGTTATCGAAAAAAGTTCTGCTCTTACAGTACGGTCACTACGGTACTGACCGTATCCACTCGTTGCCCCGGGTTCCTTGGGAGTCAACAAAAGCAACTGATTTGGGGTCCAGGTTTCGAAAAATTTCAGAAGAGCCGACCTGAGCCCACGAGTAAATTGTACTTCAGGTGGCTGACAGTGCCACCCAAGCGCGTGCGCCGGTGCCCTTCAAGGGAGGGGGGGGGTCCGGGGGGCCTGCCCGGGAAAAATTTCAAAAAATGAAGCAAAATCCTGCATTTTGAGAGAAAAAAGGGGGTTCCGGGCACCCAGGAACCCATACGGGGCACGCGCCTGCCACCCTAGTTGCATCCTCCACCCGTCACCACCACATGCTCGTACGCGAGGCAATGCACAAAGCATAAAACACACCAGCGCAGCGACCATCAGCCTTGTACTATACCGGTTATAAATCGACCTTTTATGACCAAAAATGAGTTAAAAGATGGGGCAGTCGACTTACAACAGCCACTATTGATCACGTTGATATCGAACTAGTAAATCGAGGCCCCAAGTATTGGGGTCCACTTATCACCGGGGTTGACTAACAGCCGGTAAAGCACGGTATTCTGCACGTTCTGGTGACTGCCCCTCTGTGACTCACTCCAGGCCGTCAACATGCTGCACGTGTGTGCACGCGTGTGTGTGGCATGGTGAAATTCAACAAAATACTCATTCGTGATAAGTTCTCCAGCTTGATTTCGAAAGGCGCACACGAGTGGACGCACTAAAAATGCATCAAAATGCACACACGTAGCAAGAAGGAGTGCGCAAACATGTTTGCTGCATTTCCACATGATGTGGCTTGGGTTCAATGGATTTAGCATTGTAGCTATGGCGGTTGCCATGGGCGCTCCAGTCGTTCTCATTGGTAAGCCAGCACCTGCCGAAATATTCTTTTTTGAAGAGTTTGACTAAACAACCTGTATGTCTCCTGTAGACCAGAGTACGCCTGAAGCCAGTGCCTGTAGCGCAACATGTACAAGCATCTACTGTACAGACCCTGGCCATGGTGTATCAAAGCCTGGCATGATAACATGTTTGACGATGACAGCAGGTTACAAGGCGGAATACACACCATGTGGAAAACAGCGTTCCTGAACGGTGTTCCTGATCAATGGGTTTATGGTTGCAGTCAGGAACACTGTTTTGACATGCTGTCGTCGTAAAGGCCGATTCATACTTCATTTCCCTTACGCGAAATAGTTGAGCTCAGATCAACTTTTTCGCGACGCGACGCGTTTCCCGTAACCCGGGTAGTCGGCGGGTACCCGTCTGTTTAGCCGCTGATCCGTCAGCAAACGAGTACCCGATTGTCGTGTAGGATTGTAGGGTACAGTATTAGAAGCTTGCTTGTACAGTCGTACAGTTCAGTGCACAGTTTTGAGTGTGTTTTTGCTTGTTCAATACTGCTACATAGCAATCTAACAATACATGTATATATCACGGTATCCATTATACAATGTAGCTACGACAATTTTGACTGTTAGCATGTAGCGCCGTGGGTGTGCACACCGTGCTTGTCGCGGTGTAGTGTACTTGCATGACTTCGCCTATCCTCCTGGCACGAAATCCGGTAGGATACAGTAGTAACTGCCGCCCGAAAATCTCTCTCCTTTTAGAATGCCTGTAAGAGACACGTTGCGCTTACGGTCACAAGCAAATGCAACGTTTTTGGAAAAAGGTATGGCGGATAAAGGGTACCCGATAACCCGCCCGTTTAGCCAGATACCCGTTTGTTACCTTAAAGGGTAACCGTTTCACCCCTAGTTCTCGAGGTTCGCGGTTTCTCGTAAAATAGAGTGTACTGGTACAGTGCATTTTTCGACATGATTTCGTGGTATCTCCTCAGGCTACGCGCCTGGGATTCCAGATCGCAAACTTTTCCCGCTATACAGTATTACGAAGCCAATGTGAGGTGAAAATGTGCATTATGCGACCTCTGTCCGCCGAATATTTTCTGCGGATTACTCAAAACAGCCGAACAGTGCGACCTTTTCTCAAAATTTCCATCAGAGTTCACTGTTTTTTGTTGGCAATTCAGCACCTGGAAAATACCTAATACGCGATAATTATGTGATCTGACTCGGGAAATCCCCGCCGAAATGCGCCCGATTAATATAATACGTGGTGGCCCTTCTGTAGAGCTCTGCAGATAACATGGGGAGAGGCCAGATATGCAATTATGCATGCGGGCGCGTAAACTAAAAAGCACCAGGAGGGCATGCGAGCAGAATTGTGCAGACCTCCATTATGGCTTTCGGTCTTTCGTCTTGTGTATGGAGTGCACTACAACTCGCAAATCACAATCATGTGTACTGGTATTCTCGGTTCTGTATGCATCAGGGAGTCGTACTCAAACTAGGGAGGTGACACGGCACAGAAATCCGTGTCACAGGGGTTGACTCGCACCCGTGACCCCTCGTTGTTGTTTTTGGAATAGTTCAGTCCAGTCCAGTCCGAAAGGTCATACTCGGATCGACTCGCCTTCTGTACTTCACCTCCAAGCGTGCAGCATGGGTGTCTAGTTTTTGAAATTATTGAGGCAGCACATTTCGTTTACGCCCATCACTCGCCAGTATTCTTTGAAAGACTACCAGCAATTTGTTTACCTCCTGCCATGTCCGAACTACTTGATAGCAGTGATGGCAACAGCAGCAGTTATGAGACAGCGTGTAGTGTTACGGTAACTGTTCAGAACTGTTCAGAGTCGTATCCTAGGTTAATCCGAATACTAAAAATTGACCCAAATTGCACATAACACGAAGCTGGTTTTTGAAAATTGTAAGTCGTGTATCTGCCCCATTTCTTCTTTATGACTTGCACAATACACCAGTCTTCCTAAACAACACATTTCTAGCAGGGGTTAAGTACCATATAAGAGAAGTACAGCCAGTGATATTAAGGACGTTTAGCAATGCGAAAGTTCGAAAGAAAATTCGAGGCTGGGAATGAGTACAGAAAAAAAGCTCGAAACTTCGAAAACTTGGACGCGAAGTTGCAGTGATTTGCGAAAGTAACTTTCTCTTTTCTCGGTACGCATTTGACTACAGGGAGTAGTAATTTTACAGCCCCTGCTTGAGACTGAGCTGCATATACGGTACGGTACGAGGTGAATTGCTATTTCTGGACATTGTACATTTCTGGACATTTCGAGTAAAATAATTTTTCGTCGCGTGTAGAGTCAAGTCAGTCAGGTTGATGAAGTTTTTTCTTGCCGTAGTTGACAGCTGGGTTGTTGTAGTTTCTCCTCGTGTCGATGCCTTGTTCATAGCCTTTGTTTGTGAGGCATTTCAACGAGTTTTGTGGTACTATGTCGCATGAGAATTTTGAATTTTGAGTAAAATAAGAAGTAATGGACGAATCGTTGGCTTCCCCATGTGCACTCCACTTCAGACGCTGTATAGTCTGGGACCTGTTGGCTGGAAGTGTGAAGAGGCCAACTGCAGTCCAGCAATAGAAAAAATAACAAAAATGGTGCAGTATAGGATGCCTTTTGACGCTATTTTACTTTCATGTCCAGAATTCCATACACTGAAATTTAGGCCAAAAAATTGGCCTGTCGAAAACGTCCTGCTATAAAGTCTCTGGGATCACAGCATGAGCAATTGTCACATATTTGGAAAGATGAAGGATTAGGCCATACAATAGATACAAAAAGATATGAAAAATGTGAAACACACAGCCTGTGGGGCTCTATTTTATTTTCATGTCCAGAAATTGCTATTCACCTCGTACTACAAGATTCAAATAACTTCGAGAAAAAGTCATTTCGCATTGCTAAACCTCACAAGTTTTCTTTTTCGAAACAGATTTTCGCGAAATATCACCACCACAAAAAGTTCGAATTTTCGCATTGCTAAACGTCCTTATTGTCATGTTGAAATACTACAATTTTGACACAAATTACACATAAGTTGACATAACACGAAGCCAGGTTTTGAAAAATGTAAGTCGTATATCTGCCCCATTTCTTCTTTATGACTTGCACAATGGTCCAGTCCGCCTAAATAACACATTTATAGCAGGGGTTATGTACCATATTAGAGAAGTACAGCCAATGATATTGTCATGTCTAAATATTACAATTTTGACACAAATTAGACATAACACGAAGCTGGTTTTTGAAAATTGTAAGTCGTGTATCTGCCCCATTTCTTCTTTATGACTTGCACAATACACCAGTCTTCCTAAACAACACATTTCTAGCAGGGGTTAAGTACCATACAAGAGAGCTACATTGTACATCTAGTCATACTGTCATAAACAGCCAGCATTTTTCCTGCAGCTGTCACACCACCATCATCATTATTTCCAGGGAAATCCTCTTACATTGTCAGCTCCTACGTCGTTAGATACAATGTAGGGGGCTGTAGGACCGGCTCGTCAAAAATAGAGAACCTGAACAAGCGTGCTCGGGACGTCTCAGCAATCGTAGTATGCTTGAGCACTCCTATAAAAACTTGATCAATGGCAAAATCGTTCCCCACAGAAAAATCATACTTTGCGGGTCTTGCGTTGCACGCTTGGAGGTGAAGTACAGAAGGCGAGTCGATCCAAGTATGACCTTTCGGACTGGACTGGACTGAACTATTCCAAAAATAACAACGAGGGGTCACGGGTGCGAGTCAACCCCTGTGACACGGATTTCTGTGCCGTGTCACCTCCCTAGTTTGAGTACGACTCCCTGGTATGCATATAATACGTTTGTTCATGGTGTTTAGTGGCCCCGTCATACAGAAGCCACACAACAACAGCAAACAGAAAGCACTGTCCATGCCTCCAGGTTGATTTGACTGTGTGCCATGCTGGTCCAGTGCAACTCTGAGTGCGCCACTCATGGGATCGGTTTTCACTTGTCACCGCGCTATGCCACTGCAGCACAAAGGATGTCGAAGCAAGTGCTAATAAGGATGCTTGATAAGGCAGACTAAGACAATCAATCGACGTTGCACTCCGGCCCAGCCGGAGGTTTTGGGGCGAATAATGAAAGTCAACAATTCACTGAAAATCAAACGCCTATTCTAGACGCCGTGGCCGTCGAGTAATTTTACGAATGCACAGACTGGACTTCGGGCTTTTGAGTAGCCATCCGTCCTCAACTCGAAGGGACGCATAACCGTTCAAAGAGCGTGGCCCGCAACTGCGCCGAAAATATGATTCAGCAGTTGGAAACTTTGAACTTCCGATCCCTTGGTTGTAAAGCGTTCGATGGTCTGATTAGCCCAGTCCGCATATGCACCATGCTACAAGCTCGTTGCTTGCCAATAGCGAAGATGGTTACTTTCGCCAAAATAGGGGACTTCACACTGGCATTTGATGTCCACCTTTTTTTAGACTTGGAGCTCCACACACGAAGTTCGTTCAAGCAAGCACTCACCGTTGACTGAAGAAAGCCCAGAGGCAAGGCAACAAGTCACCAGCACACATGCCCAGAGTTCAAGGACAACTCCTGCCATTGCTCATCTCTCTCTTCTCAGTCTGTTCTTGCTCGTCTCCTATTTACCCTAGCTCAAACCTGTGTCAAAGTATTCAAATCGTCCCTAATGCTACGGAAACAGCACCAGGGTTAGGCGATATCTGCATCCATCCAGCAACAAATCCTGCATTCGCCACTTGTTTCCTGGCCTGCCAAATCCTCCAGCACCGACTACAGTAAGATAGCGACTATTTTATCAAAAGCTGTATGCATACATCTGTCCAGACCTAACTCAAAGCCGCCTGCTCCGCCGTCCTCTCCAGCTCACGAAGCACGGGCTGCACTCGTCGAGACCAACACTGTGTATTTCGGGAGAGAAACTAAACCGAAAGACTCGACTGGACTGCAAACAAGTTTAGGTCGCACCACATACACCTTCCTACAACTCTCGAAGTTGTGTTCCGTACACACGACATGATCTACTCACCTCGCCGTATAAATAATTAATTTATTTTTATGACTGCTGTAGCGCTAGGACATGGCGCACGTGGGGATTCTGTACGGTGTACGCAAGTACTCAATTTATGTACTGAGCAACGCCGTGCACCACGTGCTAAAATGGAGGCACGTATGCCATATTTTGCATGGCTGATTCGATCTTTTTGGATTTGATTGTCCAGTTCGTTCAAACCCATCTTCCTTCTGCCGTGTGAGAGGAAGAGTTTGCGGGAACCTTCAAATTTCAACCACCTCCACAGCTCTAAAAGCTAAGCTGCTTGGAAAGGTTAGGAGAATCTCCTGAGATTTTGAGAGGACACGTGAAACCAAGAGTCCATAAACACTCTTGGTGTAGCTAATATACCAGTAAAATGTTTATTCGGGTGCGTTGTGGCAGTTCTTATATTTGGCGATCTATTTCAGAAAATTCTCTTTGAAGACGAAACAGGAAGAAAATTGAGAACCGATCAAATATTTTCAGAAAACGAAAGTCTCCTCTCCACTTCCCAACCTCATCCAGTGATGAACATTATATGCCTGTAGTATTCCTTGCTAAATATGTTACCACAACTCAACAGTAGCTCAGTAATGCCATGTTTGAAAATGGATCCGCACTATTGATCTCCAGCTGACTATCATTTCCAGTCCATACACACTTCTCACCCCTCTTTTTTTCTTCCGTCTTCGCTACCTTGTTTATTGAGAAGAAATTCCCGTTTGGATTTTGCGAAGTAAAACAAAGTAATAAAAAAAACCAAAAACACTATCATAGTATCTGCTTGATTAGTTCAGAAGAACTTGGAAAGGGTGCTACCAAGAGTCCATAACCCGGGTTATGGACTCTTGGTGCTTGATGCTCAGACCAGCCAATTCAGCTAACGTATTGTATTCTATTGTATCTTATTTTATTTTTTACTTGGGCATTCCCAACAGACCCTTAGGTCTTCTTACAGGGTGCTCAAGATGAATGAATGCGTTCAGTTGCTGGGGAAATGAATTGGCGATATGATTGTAGTGCGAAGGGATTCGGGCTCCAGAGCCCGCACATGCGATAAAGGGAAGCATATCGCACGAACGTCGAAGATTTTTTCATGCCTCTTTGATCTTGTACGGGCAAAATTAATAAATCGATACAATCATGTCATGAAAATACAAAAGATGACCGAATTCGCGAAGGTGACACTATACTCGTACCCGCGTACCCGTACCGTGATGGCGGGGGCACGCATCCAGTGAACCTGCAGCTGCAGTGATCAGTAGTGATGCTACCGAGCTGACAGACGTATCTATTATTGCACGATTAAAGAGGTTAATAATAGCAATGAAAAGTATGAATGCCGCAGACATCACCACGCAACATGACAATTTGTTCAAGGTTTGGTTTTGTGTGTTTCCAAAATCGATTTTCACGTTCCGATCATCAGTGGAAATACGGAACTAAAGAGATCAAGGGAAAAACAAAGGTTAAAAATCCAAAGAAGTGTGACACATGACGGGTAACTTGTGGTAAGTTTTACAAAAAGTGAGAACTAAAATAAAGAGTAAGTGTGACAAACGGGCATGAACAGTGCAGAAACAACTCATGAACACGGGGTGCAAACTCACGAAAATAACCTAAGTGCTAAAACATGTTCTTTTTGCTTACACAAATCGGGCTTATGCGTACGAATACAAACAGCTTCAAGGACCTTCAACTGCTGGACATAACGGGCACGACACAGTACAGAGAAGTGGGAATCATCATACACACTCAAACAATCGGGACGAGATAACAAATGCAAATACACAGCTGACTTCTTACGAATTTCACCCTCATCAGCTCCATCACCCTCCCTGCCACCTGACTCCTCCTCGTCCGTTTTATCACCATCACCACCAGCCGTCTCACCGTCATCCGCCTCGTCTTCATCCGCCGCCTCGTCATCACCCGCCTCGTCGTCATCTGTATCCTCGCCGTCATCCGCCTCGTCGTCATCTGTATTCTCGTCATCCGCCGCATCATCACCCAACTCATATTCACCACCAGTCAGTCGTCTGATACCATCCATGTTCTCCTTCCTACGTCTGTCCCGTGTCACTGTCCTTACCTCATCTACGTCCCGAGATTGTGTTCCGTTTTGCCCCCGGCTTCCGGTCTCCTTCGATGCTCCGCGTGGGCCTTGGCCATTCCTAGCATATATTTCGGTTGAATAATTGGCGGTCGACCTCCGTGGTCTCTGGACCCACGGATCAAGCGCCGGAGGGTGCTGCGGTGTCCGCACAGCCGGATACTGTGTCAAAGAAATGGGCTCAATGTCTGTGATTGGCGGTACTGTTGTTGTTGCCGACTCCTCCCCAACCCCAGCCACCAACGGCACTGGTGGTGGCTCCGGTGGCGGCAAGGGCAACGGTGGAGAAGGCACATTCGGTTGGCTTAGTGATCCACCACTCTTCCTCTGCACCGTGTGTTCGACTTGCTCTGGTTGTGTCGGTGGTAGAGGGCGCGGGTTCTTGCGTGGTCTTCCCCGCTTCGGGCGCTTCGCTTTTGCTGCGTCCGGCAGCATGTGAAGTGGTACATGCTGCTTGATACGTGCGCTCAGGTGTTGAAGGGTCCTACCAACGTACCGGCTATCACAATTCCGGCACTCAAATTGGTAGACCAAGTGGCTCAATAGGTGGGATGGTAGGACATCCTTCCTCACCGTGAACGCACGTATCGTAGTGAACACAGGGATGAAGTGCGCCGCAAAGTATGTTTGTGTAACTAGCGTTTTGATTGTGCGGCACAATGTCTGTGATGCCTCTCCTTTCCAAGGTAAGGAAAGGTAGACTGGGCAACGACTTGGACCAATGATGACGACCTTTGGTTTTGATGCTGATTTTAGTAGCTTGTTTAGCAGTTCCTCCGGGTAACCATTTTTGAGAAACACAGATTTCAGAAAACCTAGCTCATCCTTGAGTCGAGAGGGGGAACAGATTCGCCGCGCTCTATCCACCAGATTCTTCACCAGGTTGACCTTATACAGGTACGAACAATACGAGTCAAACACGATATATTGTCCGGTAAATGTTGGCTTCCTGTATATTGACGTTACAATTTCATCGTTTGACTTCTCCACACGCACATCTAGAAAGGACAAGGTGTTGTTCTGTTCATGCTCAACCGTGAATTTCAGAGAGGGATGTAAGTTATTCAATCGGTCCAAGAAGGCGTCACACTGTTGTACTGAATCAAAATATGTGAACGAGTCGTCGACAAAACGAACGTAAAACTCCGGCCACAGTGACGGGTCCACAAGAGATTCGCAGTAGCCAACAAATATATTTGCCAACACTGGACCTAATGGTGATCCCATGGCTACCCCATCCACCTGCCTATACATCACGTTATCAAATGAAAACTCAACGCCCGTAGTAACAAGAGACATCAGTGTACGGAAGGAGGATTCAGGCAGCCATGGCGTGTCAACAGAGTTATTGTGATAGAGAACATCCGCACAAATATCTATGGTCTGTTCCAACGGTCCTTGAAGCTGTTTGTATTCGTACGCATAAGCCCGATTTGTGTAAGCAAAAAGAACATGTTTTAGCACTTAGGTTATTTTCGTGAGTTTGCACCCCGTGTTCATGAGTTGTTTCTGCACTGTTCATGCCCGTTTGTCACACTTACTCTTTATTTTAGTTCTCACTTTTTGTAAAACTTACCACAAGTTACCCGTCATGTGTCACACTTCTTTGGATTTTTAACCTTTGTTTTTCCCTTGATCTCTTTAGTTCCGTATTTCCACTGATGATCGGAACGTGAAAATCGATTTTGGAAACACACAAAACCAAACCTTGAACAAATTGTCATGTTGCGTGGTGATGTCTGCGGCATTCATACTTTTCATTGCTATTATTAAACTTTTATCTCCACGTAGATTATTTGATTAAAGAGGTCATTGAAATATAGAACGAGTAAAAGACCGAGGTCCCCCGAGGTCTTTTACGAGGTCTATATTTCATAATGACCGATTATGAGGGCAATAATAGATTTATCACGACAATGCATACCTAAAACTGTTTTTGCTTTGCTATAGGAAGAAAGGAATACTATTGTAATAGTATAATAGTATGTACATATGCCGTTTACATTGGACATTACTTCTGTGTAAACCGAAGTTTTCAGTTGTCTCTTGTAGTATGTTCCCCAAGTTCTTTGACTGAGAATCCGACAGTTTGGGTTCAAATCCCAGCATTTGGCTTCAGATTTTTCTTCTTTCAGTTCTGATTTTTTTCTAAGTTGAGGAAAAAGTTCTATTAAAGTCCTCGGGCTAAGTGGTCAATAATAAGTGGTCAATATAAGCAGTCAATATATGCTGATATTTGACCGCTTATAGGCGATTCACACGACAGGCAAATCCACATTTGCCAAGTGCCCGCAGGAAGTGAAACGTGAGGCCGCAGTTCACACGGCCGCGGGTGGCGGCCAGAGCTCCCGCGAGTATCCGGTGAGGATACGGCGTTACTGTGGTGATTTGGAATGAGTACCCAAAAACAAAGGCCAAACAACCAGGGTTCAAGACTACCGTACCATAGTACGACCTCACAGCCTCATAACTGTAAAAGTGCCCGCAGATGAGTGCATCCGCGGGCAAAAAGGCCATGGACACTTTTGATTCCCGCGGGCAAATTTTGGTCACCCGCAGGAATATCTCCATGGTGACTTTCCTGTAAACGTGGATTTGCCTGTCGTGTGAATCGCCTATTAGGCCTCGGTCACACTACGGCAGTTTGAAGCTGGACGCAGCGTCAAGCCGCAGCACTTGACGGAGACGCGGGGTCACACAGTGTTTTGTTTTTTTTTGCAGCTCATGACTGCCGCGGCTTGACGCATTTGTCGACGTCACAAAACCACCAGGAAAACTCAATGACGACACGGATTCCCACGGAAACCGGCCTTTTGCTTATTATACAAAAAAAT